CACATGTGCAGAGTAGAACTGCTCCATAGGGTTTTCAAACTGTGACTTTTTGGAAGCAGATTGCCAGGGCTGTCTTCCGAGGCACCCCTGAGGGACTGAACCTCCAACCTTTCAGCTACTAGTTGAGCACTTAACTGTTTGAGCCACCCAGGGACTCCCTAAGTGGTGTGTAGGGTTGGCTTTTGCTTTGTAACAAACCATTCCAACGTTTATCGCTTGAAACAGCAATCACTTATTTCACTCACAACTCTGCAATTCAGCTGTTTGGTGGTTCTTCTGGTTTTGGCAGGGCTCACTCATATGTCTTCAGTCAACTGGTGACTTGACTGAGGGCTGCCTGGTCGAGCATGGCGTTAGCTGGCTCGTCTCTGCTCCACATGCCTCTTAGCTCCAGCTGGCTAGCTCAGGCTTGCTCACATGGCACCTGGGCAGGGCTCCAAGAGAGCAAGCAGAAGCTGCAAGGCCTCTTGAGGCCTTGGCTTGAAACTGACACATCATTTCTGCTACATTCTGTTGGTCAAAGCAAGTCACAAAGCCATCCTAGATTCAAGGGGTGAGGAAATAGACTATTGATGGAGTGAGCTGCAAAGTCACATCGCAGTTGAGCATAGATAAGGGGGCGGATGTGGGGGAGGGGAACTTGAGGCCACTTTTGCAAACCAGTCGACCACATGGTAAAAAAGGGGTTCAGATCCAAGTCTGTCTGAAGCCAAAGTTCTTAACATGTTGAACAAACGTTGTTGAAAGGGTTCTGAGCGTATATATTCAGAAACCAGTTACCGTGGAATCAGCTCTGACTCATGATGACCCCATGTATGTCAGAGTACAGCTGCACTCCATGGCTGTTTTTTTGGAAGTAGACTGCCAGGCCTTTCTTCCAAGGAACCTCTGGATGGACTTGAATCTCCAGCCTTTTTGTTATCAGGGCAGCACGTTAACCATTTACACCGCCCAGCGACTCCATAAGGCCCCGGTAAATAATTAACGCCCACTGGATCCCTGATACTTATTTAGTGATGATTCTGGGAATGTGAACCTGAGCTTGTGGGTCTGAGCAGGTTCGATTCCCTTTAAGGCAGGCAAGAGGAGCCACATTTAGGAGGATGCCACATAGTTATATGCCTATTGAGGAGCATCAAAAAAAGAATAGACTTTAGTTTTAAAAAGAGAGTTAAAGATAAATTTATGTTTATCGTTACAAACAATACATTTGTGCTTTAGAAAATTTAGAAAATGCAAATAAGCACAAAAACTGGCAGTCATCTCTAGTTGCATAACAAAAGTACTCAAGATGCAGGTTGACTCCGGGTAGGTGTTTTCTTTCTTTATTTCCAGTAGAGGGTGCTGTGTACTTCCAACCAAAACCAAAGCCAACTCATAGTAACATTATAGCGCAGAGTAGAACTGTTCCATAGTGATTCCAAGGAGAAGCTGGTGAATTTGAACTGCTGACCTTTCGGTTAGCAGCCTGAGCTCTTAATCACTGTGCCACCAGGGCTCCCTGTGTACTTCAGTTCTGTAAAAAGCTGAGCTGGAAACCTTAATTGGCTGGCACCCAGCTTATGTCTGCTCTTATAGATTAATACCTCAGGCAGCTGCCCACTTGCTGTGCCTTGAAACCTGCTTCAAAAAGCACTTCAGATTTGTGTCTAGAGTGAACTTGCTCGCAAACCTGTCCTTGGCATTGCTGGCTCCTCCAAAGGCCAAGCAGAAATGCCAAATGGAGATCACAGGTCATTTCTTTCCAAGCATGTGATCCAAGTGTCAAATCTCTAATTGCCAAGTGCTGTAAATATGATTCTTTGCAGTGGGATTTTATTTGCGCCAGCATCAACTGCCTCTTGGCATTGCTAATTTCCTTGCTCATTCTTTCATTCTTCACTTTGATTGTAATAATCAGAATACTTTGGAGGAAGATCAAGCAGCTCATTTTCATAATGAACTGCTATAAATGGCTGAATATGGGGCAAGTAATTATAGGAAAAGCTATTTCTTGTGGCCTGGGTTGCAAAAACAAGACACTGAATAGTTACCTTCGAGTTGACTCGGACTTGTGGTGACCCCAAGTATGTTAGTAGAACTGTGCTCCATCCGGTTTCCAATGGCTAATTTTTTGGAAGTAGATCACCAGGGCTTTCTTCTGAGACACCTCTGGGTGGACTCAAACCTCCAAGCTCTCGGTTAGCAGCGAAGCACGTTAACCATTTGCACCACCCAGGGACTTGAGAAATTGAAAACAACTTAAGTATCAATCAACAGGGGGTGGGTAGATAAAGGATGGCACAGCCACAATGAGGAAGACTATGCAGGTGTTAAAATAATCTGGTAGATTTCCGTGTACCCATATAGAAAGACTTCCAAACTGATCTATAGGAAGCAGATCCGGACACAAAGATTCAACAGCAAGTAGTTTGCTCTGAGAGACTCTGTAGCACATGTCTCCAAATTGTCTGACCCAAGAGATGAGGGAACTGTCCTTTGTTGAGGGCTGTTCCCAGGACGTTTTAATACTTTGGCACTTTTCGCCTGCCGCACAGGTTGGCAAAGCAAGCTTTGATGACCAGAGAAAACCCTCAGGCAAAGAGTTGCAGGTCTGGCAACTGGAAGTTGGGCTAGTATGCTGGGCTAGTATGCATCGAAGTGGTAAGAATGGGGGAATTTGTATGGGTGGAACACTGGCAGCATCTGCTGTATGTGTTACGAGAAGGAAGGAACGGAGGGAGGAAAGAAGAAAGGAAGGGAGGGAAAAAGGAAGGAAGAGAAGAAAAGACAGAGGGAAAGGAAAGGGAGGAAGAGAAATGACTCAATTATTCAGGTTGCCTACATTTACTGATTTACTTGCTTACTTTCCTATTTACCTATTTCCTTACTTATTTATATATATAGAGAAGGGGCTGATAGATTGCAAAGCAAACTGCTGGTAGTCATATAGCTTTGGGGAAGGGGAATGGAAGTAGGGGTCATAGGAAAGAGGAAGGATCATCATATACTCTGTATATTTATGTATTGCTAAAGTATTTTTTACAATGATAACACATTCACGTACTACTTCTAAAATTAAGTAAAAAAAAAAAAGACGGAAGAGAATAAAAAGACTGCATGCTATTAAAAAAAAAAAAATCTGTTGCTGTAGAGTCAATTCTGGCTCCTAGAGACCCTAAATGACAGGGTAGAACTGCCCCGTAGAGTTTCCAAGACAAATCTTTCCAGAAGCAGATTGCCACATCTTTCTCCTGCAGAGCGGCTGGTGGGTTCAAACCTCCAACCTTTTGGTTAGCAGCCGAGAGCTTAACCACTGCACCACCAGGGCTCCCTCTGCATGCTATAGGTTCATTTAAAAAACAAATCCTTGACTGCTAAGCACAGGGTAGCTTTGCCCTTAGAATATACTAATACACATTGTTGCACAGTTAGTAATTTGAACTTAGGTTAGTGGGGTAAAGATAAACATGCTTCTTATTTTGTTATTGTTGTTGATTTTTTAAAGTAATATAAGCATAGCATTTGGAAAATTGGGTAAAATGTCAAAGAAGTCATCCGTGATAACCACTATAATCTTTTGCAACCACTGTTCTCCTGGAATGTATATGGAGTGAGATAATCCATGTAAAATATCTAGAGCAGTGTTTGGCACATAGTAGATGCTCAGTAAAAGGTAGATATCATTAAGGAAATCGTGATTCGTGCATATGGTGGAATATATATGATGGAAATATGCTTATTTATAAATCAAATGAAAAATAGGGTTCAAAATTTTATATTGAGTATGATCTCAGCTAGGGGTTCAAACAGAGATAGAGAAAGAGAGATGTCCTAGGTCTGTCCACTGACAGAGCCTAGAAGCAAGGTGTCCCAGTAGCAATGAGCACAACTAGCATCCAGATCTTGGTTTCCAATTACCGTCCCCCATCAAAAGGAACCAGGGCTCCTTAGAAAGACGAGTGGCTCCAGGTTTGGAGAAAGGAAAGTGTGAGATGAGCCTGGATAACTTGTGCCAGAAAGTAAAGTAGAGCTCAATGAATGGTGGAGATATGTCAAAAAGACACAGGGTTTAGCCTGAAGGGGCTCCCCCAGCCAGCTCTTGTACAGCCTGAGCATCAAATTAATAATGGTCATAATGAGTCACAACCTATTGAATAAAATAAAAATCTATAAGTCCATACGGAATAAATAAACAGGAGAACGGAAAGTTCTTCCTTACAGTAGAATGTTAGCTAATAAATGTAGAAGGAATAATGGAAATAAAAAATATTATTTGGTTATCATCATACTGGTGGTTGATTCATGCAGAAATAGTCAATGAATGGTAAAGTTGGTGGACAGAGGTTCTGTAGAGAACAGGATATTGGCATAATCTCTGAATATTTCCCCACAAAATTTTTATTAATCAAAAATGGAAAAATGATAACCTCCGGGGGAGACATCTGTCAGACATCAACTTGATCAGGGGATGAAGGTCACTATTGCTGGCGATGGGAACGGTGGCATCCCATGCCACCAAAGAGCTCAACATCATTTCTATGATAGTCCTGCCAAGAAAACATGGCCCGAGTCTGGGGACAAGGAGCCATCAGATGGACTCAGGGTGAGGGGTGTCCTACAAAGTGAAAGGCCTAAACTCTTTAAGATTACTAGGGACATGAAAGAGAGGGAAAGCCTGGGGAACTTTCTAGACTGAAGTTGCCTGTAATTCAATCACCACATTTTCCCCTACATTTAGAGGGTTGTGGGTAGGGCTCAATGGCAGCAGTTATCAAATATGAGAATCATTTTGGGGAGTTAGTTAAAAATGCAGATTCCAGAGAATGGGGGAGTTAGTTAAAAATGCAGATTCCAGGGCTGTATGAGGCTTAGGGATCTGCCATCATCCCAGGAAATTCTGATGTAAGTTGTCCATAGATCATACTTGGAGGAATGTTGGTCTAGAAATTCAGAAAATGGTAGCAAACTTCCCATCCAGTCCTGCCCTTAACGCCCTTTCTATCTCTTTGCTTCCCCAGGGTGACGCTGTATGCTGAGTTCCTTCCCATGAAAGCCAGAGCAAAATGCATTTTGCTGATTGAGGTAAGAAGGAGGGGCCTGGGTCTCTAGAGAACGCTGAGTCTCTGACGGGAGAGTCTCAAGTGTAAGGAGGTTCTCAGGGAGAAGGAAAAAGGAGTTAAAAATATAACAGAGTCAGTGTGCAAAGACTTCAGTCGATCAGATATATCGATGCAGACATGGCTGTTTTACGATATGAACAAATGCCTCAATTGACAAAGAAATTCATTCTCCTGGCAGTCCATGGTATATTCAATATTCTTCACCAACACCATAATTCATTTAAAAAATGGTGGCAGATGGGTGGTATGTTTCTCTTGAACTGAAAATGACTTTTATCTGAGACTTGGTGTTGACTGGTGCAGCTGAGTGGACCAAATTCCTGCCTGTGCCCACATTATCGCTCTCCACCCCTGTTCCTACCCAGACTGGTCTGTGTCTGTGTGCAACCTCCATTCCTGGCCACCTCTGTGGCCTGTGTGGTTGTTAGCTGCCATCAGCCATGGACGCATGGCAACCCCATGTGCAACACAGCAAAATGCTGCCCAATCCTGCACCATCCCCATGATCAGCTGGGGATTGGACCGCTGTGATCCATAGGGTTTTCATTGGCTGATTTTTCAGAAGTAGATTGCCAGGTCTTTCTTCCTAGTCCATCTTAGTGTGGAAGCTCCACTTAAACTTGTTCAGCATCATAGTAACACACAAGCCTCCACTGACAGACAGGTGACAGCTGTGCATGAGATGCATTGGTTGGGAATTGAACCTGGATTTCCCACTCAACCACCACACCCCCCGTGGCCTACGTTGTTGCTGTTAAGTGCCATCGAGTCAGTTCTGACTCATAGCAACCCTATATGCACAACAGAATGAAACACTGCCCAATCCTGAGCCATCCTCACAATCGTTGCTATGTTTTGAGCCCATTATTGCAGCCACTCTGTCAATCCATCTCGTTGAGGGGCTTTCTCTTTTTCACTGACTCTCTACTTTTACCAAGAATGATACCCTTCTCTAGGGACTGGTCCCTCCTGATAACATGTCCAAAGTACGTGAGATGAAGTGTTGCCATCCTTGCTTCTAAGAAGCATTCTGGTTGTGCTTCTTCCAAGACAGAATTGTTCATTCTTCTGGCAGTCCATGGTATATTCAATATTCTTCGCCAACACCATAATTCAAAGACTTCAATTCTTCTTTGGTCTTCTTTATTCATTGTCCAGCTTTCACATGCATAGGAGGCAATTGAAAATACCATGGCTTGGATCAGCGCACCTTAGTCCTCAAAGTGACGTCTTTGCTTTTTAATACCTTAAAGAGATCTTTTGCAGCAGATTTGCCTGGTGCAATACATCATTTGATTTCTTGACTGCTGCTTCCATGGGCATTGATTGTGGATGCAAGTAAAATGAAATCCTTGACAACTTCAATCTTTTGTCTGTTTATCATGAGGTTGCTTACTGGTCCAGTTGTGAGAATTTTTGTTGTCTTTATGTTTGAGGTATAATCCATACTGAAGGCTGTGGTCTTTGATCTTCCTCAGTAAGTGCTTCAAATCCTCTTCACTTTCATCAAGCAAGGTTGTGTCATCTGCATATTGGAGGTTGTGAGTCTTCCTCCAATCCTGATGCTGCGTTCTTCTTCATATATCCCAGCTTCTTGGATTATTTGCTCAGCATACAGATTGAAAAAATATAGTGAAATGATACAACCCTGATGCACGTCTTCCCTGATTTCAAACCACGCGGTATCCCTTTGTTCTGTTTGAACAACTGCCTCTTGGTCTATGTACAGGCTCCTCATGAGCACAATTAAGTGTTCTGGAATTCTTTGCAATGTTATCCATAATTTGTTATGATCCATACAGTCAAATGCTTTTGCATAGTCAATACAACACAGGTAAACATCTTTCTGGTATTCTCTGCTTTTAGCCAAGACCCACCTGACATCAGCAATGATATCCCTTGTTCCACGTCCTCTTCTGAATCCGGCTTGACTTTCTGACAGTTCCCTATCAATGTACTGCTGCCACAGTTTTTTTCTCCACTCAGATGAAGAGATTTATTTGTCAGTCTCTAATACTCCTAATTATTCTTGCCATTCCAACACCTTTGGTATACATTTCCTGAAGTAGGAAAAATGAAATTTTCAGGGTCACCACGAATGGGATTTTATAGACATCGAAGATTACCAGCTTACCTAATTCCTTAAATGCTCCTCCCTTAAACAAAAAGCAAAATAAAAATTGCTGGAAGAAATGGAAAGCCTCAGGCTCTAAATGACAGCCTCACAGGCTACAGAAAAAGGCATGTGCAGAACAAGGTAATCTGTAGTACTAATAAAGAAAGGCCTCCCAAGGGACAGAGACATCAAAAGGCAGCTTTCAAGCAAACATCTTAGAACTAAACAACTTAAACTTCATAGGACTTTTTTTGGCTTGTAGACATACGATGTATGAATTGTTTCCTTTGATGAGGGCTAATGACCCAAGAAGCAAATTTATTAGCAAAATGGAAGTCTGCAGTTAAAATTCTCCCTTACTAACTCCTGAACCACAATGATTTTTTCCAGTGGAAAAAGAATGGGTTTTGGAATCAGCCAGACCTGAGTCTGAATCTTGACTCTACCTCTCAATTCCCAGATGACTTTGGGCAAAATACTTAACCTCTATTTAACCTTACTTCTCTCACCTGTAAGAGAGAAATAAGACACCTCGAAGGTTTATTGTGTAGATTAACTGATACAATGTACACAGAGGGCACTCAACAAATGTTAGTTCCCTTATCTACTGCTCTGTGACCCAGATCTGCTCACACCTCATTAAACAGCAATATTTTCACTAACGAATCTAGTATGTTGTTATTCTCCCAGAAGGAGCAGTTTGGTTGGAGTCACACACAAAAATCTCAACAGGCCAAATGAACCTCTGGCTTAAGCTGAAGAAATATTTAAGACTATAATTGTGCCTTTTGGAGACTGTCCCAACAGCAAACAGGTGGCTTTAGTCTCCTCTATCAAGCACTGGTCTCTTTCAAGAGAACTAAATAGAATCTTAACCACACCCACCCCGTTCTTAAACCTCCAGTCTTTAAAAGGCTGAGTTCTACACTCAGTTCACATACTGCTCTCGCTCACACTGAGCCATGTCATACAGAGAATTCTATGCGGCTGCTGACGCCTGAGACAGCTCAGTCTCTGGCCCATAACTGTAACCCTTTCCAACCCTGGGGACTACAGCTGCAGTGTGGCACACGGGGCTCCTGGCCCTTCCATAATAGGTGGAAGTGGTGGCAACAGAAGCAGCCATAGCAGCTGAGGCGGCGGCAGCGCCTGCGTCCGGCAATAGGTGTCTGTCGTAGGGATCAACAGAAGTGGAGTTGAGGTGACTGGTCACAGCTGTGTTCTGGACTTCAGGCAGATGGGACATGGTCTGCTCTGCATAGTGGTACCCGGAGGCTGTGCAACCATTTTTGAATGATCTTCAGCAAAATTTTACTTGCGTGTGATATAATGATATTGTTCGATAATTTCCACATTCTGTTGGATCGCCTTTCTTTGGAATGGGCACAAACATGGATCTCTTCCAGTTGGTTGGCCAGGTAGCTGTCTTCCAAATTTCTTGACATAGACGAGTGAGCGCTTCCAGCGCTGCATCTGTTTGTTGAATCATCTCAATCGGTATTCCGTCAATTCCTGGAGCCTTGTTTTTCGCCAATGCCTTCAGTGCAGCTTGGACTTCTTCCTTCAATACTGTTGATTTGTAATCATATGCTACCTCCTGAAATGGTTGAATGTCAACCAATTCTTTTTGGTACAGTAACTCTGTGTATTCCTTCCATTTTCTTTTGATGCCTCCTGCGTCGTTCAATATCGCTGCCTATAGTCCTACCTTAAAACACTCTTGGTCCAACCAGTCCTGCTCAAGCCCTCCTTCTGCCAGGACCATGGGACCCATTTTCCAGGCATGATCTGAAAGATCTCGGGGCAAATATGTAGCTGCCCAACGGCCCCTCCCCCATGCAGTGGCAGAATGGTTTATTTACTCTGGCTAGTTTATTTACTGCTCGGCAAACTAGAGGGTCAGCAAAACAGAGTGAGACCCTCAGCGAGATATACTGACACAGTAGCTGTAACAAGGGGCTCAAACATAGCCATGAGTGTGAAGATGGCACAGGAGTGGGCAGTGTTTTCTTCTGTTAAACATGGAGTCACTATGAGTCAGAAACAACTTGACGGCACCTAATAACAACAACAGACACTGATGTCCACAGTGACAATCGCTGTGACCACACTGAGAATACTGATCACATTAACCCTACAGGCCAAGTTAACCACCCTGACTTTATCCACCCCTGAGCCGATTAGGGCTCATAGTCAGCTGGTCTACACTAGGATGAACGAATCAGTTGTTTTAAATGTTGAAATGCGTTATTGCCAGCAGATCATAAGCCCTGACTGCCCTTGTTGCCTGACACCATGTCCCTCTTAGGATCCCCTAGAATTCCTCATTATCCAGCAACAAAAGAGTTCACTCTTGGCACCGTGAGGGTGGTGTGGAGGTGACTCCAAGATGCCTACTCTATGGCTGGCCTCCATCATTCTGATGGGTCAGTGCCCTTGCTGTACCAGTTGGTAGACATTTCGACTATCACCCCCCTGGTTGTCAGCAACAGAAACAGACTGTGGTTATTTTAATCAGAAGGGGATTTAGGGAGGTTGATTTAATCAAAAGGGGATTTGGGATCCTCCAGAACTGATGAGGAAGGTTTAATAAAGGGACTATTTATAAAGTCCCTTCAGGGGTGTTACCACCCTAGGCCTAAAGGGGCCAAAAAAAAAAAAAAAAAGCCAGTTCCTGTTGAGTCGATTCTGACTCATGGTGATCCCATGTGTGTCAGAGTAGAACTATGATCCATAGGGTTTTCAATGGCCGATTTTTCAGAAGGAGATTGCCAGGGTTTTCTTCCAAGGCACCTCTGGGTCGGCTCGAACATCCAACATTTCAGTTATTAGCTGAGCACATTAACTGTTTGCACCAGCCAGGGACTCCAAAGGGGCAAAAGGAGGGAGCAATTGCAGCCCAAGAGAGAGTTGTATGGTAAAGGCCACCTGACCGGAGCTATGACTTTCAGCTGAGGGCTGCAGCCAGCCCATGACCACCCTGCAGGGAGGAAACCAGAGGAATAAATGCCCCAACCTCTCCCTCCTCCCTCCCTCCCTCCCATCTTCTGTAGGGCTCCCCATTGGCTAGACCTATTGGGAAGCCAGAGGACAGGGAGCCTATTGATGCCATCCAAACAGATAGCAAGGTGGAAAAGCGTGGCGAGTGACTCCAGAGAGGCAAACGGACATTTTCACCTCCCCAGGGAAGAGGCAATTCTGATAAAGAATACTGGGCACTGTTGGGTGAAGGAGATGGATGTCAGCAGACAAAAACCCATGTTTTGTCACTACCATGTGGGCCTCATACAGTATTGATCATATTAATCTCCTTAAGCAGAGCTGCTACATTGTACAACTCCAGGGGGCACCACACAAATACTATACAGTGTGAGTGGTACCCTCAGGAGATGGGCAACATGGCGGCCTTAGTCTAACCATATGGACCACAGGAAAACTGGTTGCCATTCTAACCTTGCTGATCCTAATGACCCAATGGGTGAGCATTCAGATGCCCTTGTTTTCAATGATCCTGTAAGTGTGTAACTGTGTTCACATGTGTTGACCATGCTGCCCTGCCACTGATCCTGATTCTCCCATGCCAGGTCTTCTGGGCCATTGGGACGGTGTTCGAAGTGATCCTGGCTATATTCGTGATGCCCACCCTGGGCTGGCGTTGGCTACTCATCCTCTCGGCTGTTCCTCTCTTCCTCTTTGCCATCCTGTGTTTTGTAGGTATCTTTTAAGAGATCTCAGCCTTCATGACCTGGCCCTCTGCTGTTTACTATCTCTTGGTACCACCAACATTCTTGCTTCCCCTTTCACAGTATGGAAGGGGTGAAGGAGGGCACCAAAGCCATCTTTGAAGATTCTTTTTTAAAGTTAGGAGATGAGACAAGGGAATGGGGCCTGGAGTAGGCCCAGTATTGGCTATTGTATTTCCTCCAGGCTGATACTGCTGGGATATTCTCTGAGATAGTTGGGGGTGGGGGATGCCTTGGCCCCTACCTCTGCATGCTCTACACTTCAGGTGATTGTATTTGATTGGTTGGAACTCTTATGTTGTAAGTGACAGAACTGGCTTGAGCAAAAGAAAGGGATAGTCCTATTAGAGAAAGTTAAATATCTGGCTTCAGGTATGGCTGGTTCCAGGAGGTCAAATGATCTCTCCATCTCAGGTCTGCACAAAGCGCACCCCCTAACAATATCACCTCACACACTTACCATTTCATGTGTACACCACACACATGAAACACTTTGTAGCCACTATGGCTCCAAAATAAGCCTGTAAGTGGGTGGGTCTCCTCTGTGGTAAAGACTATGAATAATTCCTGGTAATGAAAATGAGTATGATAATTGCTGATCCTAACTATGTAGCAGGCTCTATGCTAGACTCTTTACATGAATTATCATATGTATTCCTCCTAATCACCATATGAGGAAGGACTATGATTAACCCTACATTAGCTAGGATGACACCAGCTGCTGTAACAAATAAAGCCCATAAATTCAGTAACTTAACATAATAGGAGTTTATTTCTCACTCACATAATAGTCCAAATGGGTGTTGTTGGTTGGCAGGTGTGATTCTGGGCCCAGGTTCCTTCCAGCTTGTGACTCTGCCATCCTCTAGGTCTTTGGAGTCTTCCACATGCAGACAACAGACTGGGGAAGCCAAGAATATTCTGCTCATATGCCATTGATGAGAACAAATCTCATGGCCTCACCTACCTGCAAGGGGGACTGGGAAATGTAGACTACGGAAGGGGAAGCAAGAACTTTAGTGGACATTCACAGCCTATGCTACATCCCTGTTTTACTGATGAGGCAATGGAGGCCCAGAGAGATGGACTGACTTGCCCAAGGGCACACAGCAAATAAGAGCCAGAAGTATAATTTGAACCAGATCTTCCAACTCCGGGTCTTGTGCTCCCTCTACTTTCCACTAAGCCTACTGTTTAACAGATTGCTGTTGTTTCGTTTTTACAGAAATGTATTTTTCTGGTCTCTTGGGGTTGGGGCTCCATTAGGCCTGTTTTCTTGGGCTGAGTTTGCAAGATGATGCAAGATGTACAGGTGGGGTATAGTTTCCTGAGAGATGAGGGTGAGATTTCTGATGAACGTGGGAGTGGCGTTCTTAATTTAATTCCACCCTTCCTGGGACTCTGAAAGTGGCTCCAAGTAATAGTAATAGTAACAGTGACAACAATATCAGCTACCATCTAACCCATGCCAGATACTGTGCTAAACATTTTGCCTGGATTAGCTCATTTAATCCTCTCAGCAACCCTAAGAAGTAATATCTATTATTATCCCCATTTTATGGTTGGGGAAATGGAGGCACAGAGAGGTCAAGGTCACAGCGAAAAAAAAAAAGACAACCCATTACTGTTAAGTCAATTCCAACTCACAATGGCCGTATAGGACAGAGTAGAACTTCCCCGTAGGGTTTCCAAGGAGTGGCTGGCGGATTCAAACTGCCAACCTTTTGGTCAGCAGCTGAGCTCTTAACCACTGCGCTACCAAGGTCACACAACTGATATAACAGATGGTAGAGCCAGGATTCGAAGCCAGGCCTCTGGCTCCAGAGCCCCCAGTCTTCTTGACTCCACACACAGACGAGAGTTTGTGGCTGGGAGTCTGTGTTCTGTTCAGCCCTCACTGGACACCCCTGGGTCTCCTGTCCCCGCAGTGGCTGCCAGAGAGTGCAAGGTACGACGTACTGTCCGGGAACCAGGAAAAGGCCATCACGACTTTGAAGAGGATAGCAACAGAAAACGGAGCCCCCATGCCACTGGGGAAGCTCATCATATCCAGACAGGTACTGATTTGGGCATGCGCATCTGTGCGTGCGGATAAGTGTGCACACACAGTGTGGGGCCTGTGTGTCAATGTGTGTCAGGTGAGCACAAGTACACAGGGTAGGGTATGCATGTCTGTGAGCACACACGAGTGAGCATGTGCCCATGAGGTGGGGCATGTGCATCTGTGAACACGTAAGTGGTGAGCATGTATACATGGCGCGGGGTGTGTGTGTCTGTGAGCATACACCTGTTACGTGTGTATACATGGGATGGGGTGTGCATGCTTGTGAGCACACAAGTGGGTGAGCATGTGCACATGGAGTGGGGCATACGTGTCTGTGAGCACATGTATGGCCGAGTGTATATACATGAGATGGGGTGTGCACATCTGTGAGCACATGTAAGTGTGTGCACATGGGGTGGGGCATGTGTGTCTGTGCGCGTGTAGGTGTGTGTGTACACGGGATGGGTGGGGACCAGTTGGCCAGGACCTGCATGAGGAATTTGGACACCCCAATCTGTGTGTGGTCACTGCCAAGTGCTAAAAGCCCTAGCGGGAGAGTCTAGCCCATGGTTAGAGAAATGTCATGTCCCCTAATCAATCCTGGAGCTACTCCCGCTAGCACGGGCTGCTTTGGCTTCACCTTTCAGCGCCGGCACTGTCCAGGAATGTCTGAATGGCATACGTGACTGATCGGCCAAGGCTGTGCAATAAGACTACGCTAAAAGCCCCACGAGAGGTTCTGATCCGGGGGGCCAATCTGCGCGCCGTGTCTCCCTTAATGGATGGGGCACTTTTCCCCTTGCAACACAATCAGGGGATCCATCATTGTGAAAACGTGTGCGTATGTATATGTGTGTGCATAAGAGCGTACGTGTGTGTGCATGTTGGGAGAAGGGGTACAGATCACTGCCCTCAGTGATCACCCAAGTGGATTGGAGAACCATGACAGACACCCTTAAGCAGACAACAGACCTTAAAAGGAACTTATGTTTTAAAAATAAAGCTATATATCTCATTGTCTCCATGTTACGCAAAAAGAGCTGCACAGATTTTCACCAGACCAGCAAAGGCTGTTTGGCATGGTCTGACCATGTAGAGGCCACAAGACGTAGCCCAAATACACTTGAGGGACGGCAGGGGCAGGGCAGGGGGCCATCGCAAAGATCTGGGGGTGCAGGAGAGATCTGTTCCTGAAGAAGATGTGCTAGATGGAAAAAGCTCACAGTGGTTTCAAAAGTGCATCCCAGAGCTGCCAGGGTGGATGCTGCAATTGCAGGCATCACTTTGGGATGGAGCTGCTGCCCCGGGGCATCTCTGGGTGTTCCAGGGTACCTGGCAGTGGGATTCCATTTATTTGATAGTGGGTTATGATCGCCCCATGGCAGCAGGGAAGGCCAGTGAGGGCAGCCAGGGGCACCGAGACCCACAGAGGGGGAGAGCTCACTTCTCTTAGGATGGTCTGGGAAGGCACCAAGCAGGTGGTGAATCCTGAGACAAGCAAAAAGAGGAGAGAAGAGCTTTCCAGAAGTAGACCAATTCTCCAAAAGCCAGTTTCCCTGACTTAATGTGCCGAATGTATCAATTTACCAACAATGTGTTTTAAGGAATATTCTTTTGGAATATATTCAGCAAATATGAACATATTTTTTCTATGTATATATTGAAGTCCTGGAGTGCTGCAAATGATTAACATGCTCAGCTGCTAACCCAAAGGTGGGAGGTTCGAGTCCACCCAGAAGTACCTCAGAAGAAAAGCCTGGGGATCTACTTCTGAAAAATCAGCCACCGAAAACCCTATGGAGCACAGTTATACTCTGACAAACATGGGGCCGTCATGAATTGGAGTCAACTGGAAGGCAATTGGCTTATATATATATTAATACATCTAATCATCAATACATTCTTTCTATAAATATATTAATGAATCGATTTGTAAATATATTCAATAAATAAGACATTCTCAAATATATTCCATAAGCATATTTAATGAACACTGTCTTCTTTTCAATAATATATTACAAAAACACTTTTATTCATGAAGACAATTCATAGTCTTCATATTCTACCTATTCATATTCAAGGTAGTCTAAACCACCTTAAGACCTGTAATTTTTTTCACCTTTAAAACCAAAAACCAAACCCATTGTCGTGGAGTCGATTCCGACTCATAGTGACCTTATAGGACAGAGTAGGACTGCCTTATAGGGTTTCCAAGACTGTAATCTTTATGGAAGCAGACAGCCTCATCTTTCTCCTGTGGGGTAGCTGGTAGGTTGGAATCGCTGACCTTTTGGTTAGCAGCCGAGTGCTTAACCACTGCACAACTAGGGCTCCCTTTGTGTTTAAATAAGGGATCATTTGTCAAAATGCTGCTAAGAAAAATATGTTCCTTAAATATATCTAAGAAGATATTCATATTTACTAAATATATTTTCAAAAGAACAATGTAAAGCAAAAGATACGGTAAGTAAGCTGTTGTTAGGTGCCATTGAGTCAATTCCAACCCATGTGACAGAATTGAGCTGCCCCATAGGGTTTTCTAGACTGTAATCTTTACAGAAGTGGGTCTCCAGACCTTTCCGCCGTGGAGTCACTGGGTGGGTTTGAACCACCAAGCTTTAGGTTAGCATAGCAGCTGAGTGCTTGACTGCTGCACCCCCGGGGCTTGTTTTGTGAACAAATACGTTAGTTACTTAGTTAATCGGTCTTTTGGCAAATTGGTGAATTGATTTTCAGCACATTAATTATCATCACCTTGACCTAAAGCCAGTTTTATGTGTGTGTGTGTGTGTCTGTGTGTGTGTGTGTGTGTGTGTGTGTGTGTGTCTGTGTGAAACGGTTGCACTTTCCTGGACTGTCCCCCGAGTCTGAAGCCGGTGGGTCGGGGGGAGGGTTCAGGTTTGAGGAGTCTGCTTCCCAGCTCCAGGTGTAGAGCAGCGGGCGAGCTTGGGTCCATCCTTTGAGAGTCAGGCTCCTCAGCTGCACTGCTGTGGAAGTGAGTCCTGGGTCCCAGCGCCCCACGTGTCCCACCCACAAGAAACCTCCCCCTCGGCAGCGGGTGCTCCCAATCTCAGGCCACCAGCTGGCTGCCCCTCGCTCCTGCAGGTGAAAATAGTAAATGGCATGTCTTTGTCTTGAAACAGGAAGACCGAGGCAAAATAAGGGACCTGTTCACGCCGCAGTTTAGATGGACAACTTTGTTGCTGTGGTTTATATGGTAAGAGCTGTTGGTTGATCATTTTACCCCCTTCCACAGTGCCCCCGTTTGGGGTTTTAATGTGAAACACAGAGACCACGTGGATCTTTTATAAATAGTGTGGATTTGCAAAAACATTCGTTTGGGCATCACTTTCTGATTTCTGCCTTATCCACTTATCCCCTGTGCTATTACTTAAAAAATCTGTCTTTAATCTGACTCACATTTTACGCAGATAAATGTATTTTTAAAGCAAACTTTGTATCAGTATTTTAAAGGAAAAACCTAAATCGCACATTACAAATAGGAGATGCCCTTACAGATGTTGTTGTGTGCCATGGAGTCTGATCTCAACTCATACTGACCCTATAGGATAGAGAATTGCCCCATAGGTTTCCCAAGGCTGTCATCTTTACGGGAAGGAGCCCTAGTAGAAGTGGTTAAAGCTCTCACTTGCTAACTGAAAGGTTGGAGGTTCAAACCCACCTGAGGCTCCTAAGGAGAAAAATGTGGCAGTCTACTTCTGTAAAGATTTACAACTTTGGAAACTCTATGGGGCAGTTCTATTCTGTCCTATAGGGTCTCTATGAGTCGGAATCGACTCGATGGCACACAACAGCAGCGACAAACAGGCTTCATACCTGCTGTCTTCCTACTCAATTCAAGAGCCCCAGTAAGGCCCCCATAGGCCCAGTGTGACCCAGGGCCAAAGACTGGTACACAGAAGTCCCTCCTGAGGGGATGGGGAAAAGGGGATTTGCGTTTCTATGTTCATTCTTTTCCTTACCTTTCTTGCTTACTTCCTGGCAGGTTTTCCAATGCGTTTTCTTACTATGGATTAGTTTTACTCACCACAGAAATTTTTCAAGCAGGAGACATTTGCAGCAGTGAGTATGGCAACCCTGTTTACCAGCTAACCACATCACCACCAGATGCTGTTTGCATTTCCACTAGGACAGGAATAATTTGCTTTACTATCAGAATTCTTTGATTTGCAGAGTTGTAAAATAGCTCAAAGGAGCCCTGGTGGTGCAGCGGTTAAGCACTTGGCTTCTAAGAGAAAAGTTGGTGGCTCAAATTCACCCAGCGGCTCCTTGGGAGAAAGGCCTGGTGATCTGCTCCCGTAAAGATTACAGCCTAGAAAACCCTATGGGGCAGTTCTACTCTATCACATGGGGTCACTGTGAGTTGACAATTGACTTGATGGCACCTAGCAACAACAAAATAGCTCAAAGACAATGACAGGCAGAGATAACCCAGAAGGATGCACTGTGTGGTTAGGAATGTCCCACAGGGTTTTCTAGGCTGTAATCTTTAGGGAAGCAGATCACTAGATCCTTTTCTCATGGAGACACTGGGTAGGTTCAAATCACCAGCCTTTAGGTTAGCAGCCAAGTACTTAACCGTTGCGCCACCAGGGCTTCTTCAACGGTGCACTAGGCAGGACTTTTTTTATTTTTTTCAGTTCTAGCTGAAGAACTCTATTAGCATTTCTCGTAGGGCAGGTCTAGTCATTGCAAACTCCCTCAGCTTTTGTTTATCTGGGAGTGACTTAATTTTGCCCTCCTTCTAGAAAGAGTTTTGCCAGATATAGAATTCTTGGTGAAGAGTTGTTTTCTTTTAGTACTTTAAATAGGTACCTGACTTAGGTTTTAAGAGCACCCCTCTGGCTGCACTGTTGGAAATGGACTACGCCAGGAGTGGGGTGCAAGTAGGTAGACGCAGGTAGGCTAGTTAGGGGGCTATTACAGTAATCCAGGTAAGAGATGAGGATGGCTCAGACCAGGATGGCAGCAGTGGAAGCGCTGAAAAGCAGCCAATCCTATTCTAATAGATTTTTGAAGGCTGAGCCAATAGGATTTGTTGATGGATTGAATATGGGTTATAATAAAGAGCAGAGTCAAGGATAACTTCCGGGATTTTTACCTGAACAACTGGAAGCGTGGAGATGCCACCATCGGAGATGGAGAAGCTGTGGGAGGCACAGGTTTGGGGGGCACTCATCCTCTCTATGTCTCATCTGTTAAATGACTGACTTAGGTGTTACCCCTCTATCTTTTTGGAGACCAGCCCAGCGTTTTGGGGGGTAAAGGAAGGGCTGGAATACAGCAATGTAGAATTCATCCTTCACTATGAATTCATCCTGGATCAGGTGTAAGACTCTTATTGCCATCACCTCTTTGACTACCGGGTTCCACTCTGATTCACTTTCAATAAAGGGTGAGGGGTGACAGAGATGGACAGTAATGAGCGTGCATTAGTTATCTGTTGTTGTATAACACTATTACTACAAACTGTTGAAACAAAAATAATATTAAGCCAATAACAGAAATTGATGGAAGTTTATTTAATATACAATTTTCAAGTCAGGGCAACATTTTCGACTAGGAAGTCAAAAATGTTCCAAAGAGGAAAAATCTTTTACAGATTCTTATGCTCTCACTTATCACTAGTAATTATACATTGCCACGGAAACAGGGCCAGAATAGAGTTGATAAAACAATTTGTGGTCATACAGGATTTCATACAGCATTTTCTTGAGGAGCAATTAAAGTGATCACTGATTGACCTTAAATCATAGCTTCTAGTCTGACCTTTGGAAATGCTGTTTGTAGAAACGGACTGTAATAGATAATTACTTAAAGATGACTTTTAAGAAACCAGTTTTCTCAAGGTAATGTTCAAAGATCATCTCATGGCAGTAGCTTGGGTGGGTCACCTCAACCTCTACAAAATCCAGAAACCTGGTTTCCATGAGAATTAAAAACTCCATTCCTCAAAATGTAGCTTAACACAACACATATTTATTGTCTCATAGTTTCTATGGGTCAGGAGTCTTGAGCACAGCTTAGTTGAGTCCTCTTCTAGGCTACAGTCAAGGCGTCAGCCAGGGCTGGGTTCTCATTTAGAGGCTCGACTAGGGAAGAATCCCTTGTGATTTCTCATGGTTGTAGGACTGAGAACCCTCGGTTCCTTGTCATGTGGGTCACCAGCGTGGCCATTTGCCTCTTCACAGTCATCAAGGAGACAGTGGGACATAGTCCTAGCAAGATGGGCATTACAATCTTATGTAACAGGATCGTATGCATTAATCACATACTCACCATCATCTTTGCTGTATCTTATTGGCTAGAAGCAAATCCCAGTCACAGGTCCCACCCACAACCAAGGGCTGGGGATCACACAAGGGCATGAACACCAGGAGGCAGATGTGTTAGTTTCCTAGTGCTGCTGTAACAAAAATACCACAAGTTGGTGGCTTTCAAGAACAGGAGTTTATTGTCTTGCAGTCTTGGAGGCTGGAAGTCCAAATTCAGGGTGTCAGCAGGGATAGGCTCTCTTTCTCTCTCTGTCATCTGTCCAAGAAAATCCTTGTCTCTTTCAGCTTTTGTTGCCTCAGACATTTCTTGATGTTCCTTGACTTGTAGATGACCCTCATGTGATGTCTTCCCCCTGTGCATCTGTATGTCTGTGTCTATACTCCCCTTATAAAACACCACTCAGATGTGATTAGGTTTAGGACTCACCTTACTCTACTCTGGTTTGAGCTCATCAGCACAACAAAAGAAAAACCTTATTTCCAGACAGGGTCACATTCACAGGTACAGGGGTTAGGAGTTCAACATATCTCTTTGGGGGATACAATTCAACCCATAATAGGAGGGATCATGGAGGCCCCCCTAGAGTCTGTCTGCCAAAAAAGCACCTGGTATGTGCCAATTCTGGGCTAAGCACATTCACATGCACAGTCTATTTTCATTCTCTCAACTACCCTGCACAGTGGTTTCCTTAGGCCCAGTTTTATAAGGAAACTGAGGCTCAGAGAGATGAAGCTGTAGCACTACTGGTTGGAATTTAAAGCAGTCTGTCTGACTCTGAACCTGGGCTCTTTCCACACCTAGAGATGGAAACCCCAGCTATCTCATACCCAGAGAAGAAGGTATGAGGAGCAGGAAAGTGTGACTCCAAGCCTTGTACATAGCTCTTTCTCTCTCTCTGCCCATCACTCCACCCCCTAGTCTCCAACCAGAAGAAGACAGTAGAGGCCAAATGCAGCCTGGCCTGTGAGTACCTGAGTGAGGATGATTATATGGACCTGCTGTGGACCACCCTCTCTGAGTTCCCAGGTAAAGGACCTGTGCGAGGTGGGTCTGGGGCAGGGAAGCCTGAGAATGTGGAGCTGCTGGGCTGGTGGCTCAGTCTGGTGCTGCTTGGAAATAAACCCCATTTCTAGGGAAGCAAGGGATTTTTTTTTTTTGCTTAAACTTTAGCTACAAGTTTTCAAGAACTGTGAAGGGGGCTGAGATTCTACCCCACTTGAAGACTATTAACAAATTTACTCACCCAGTTGCAAGCATGCTGGCAGAAGACATGAGACACCTGGGTCAGGGACTAAAGACATTATTACTCATGGCACAGCAAGCAGCATGAGTAGCATATTGGTATCAGTTCCCTTGCCCCCAGGTCCCACAGGGGTGAAGCAAAGAGCCCAGGTGGATGCTACAGATGCAATGGATTTGCAACACAGCTGAGGAACTCCAAGCTTAGAGAACTCAAATATTTTGTAATAGACTGCCAGAATCCTGCCCAAGCTTTGCCCCACAGGGAGACATCATTCTTTATTATTGGACAGTAAACAAACCTGCCTTTTGCTCCAGAGGCAGACACTAATTCTATCCTCCAAGGCTGTTTGTTATACAAACATCCTTGAAATGAGAGTCTGAACAAAAGGGCAGCTAGTGCTTTGCTCACAAGATGTGCAGAAATACAAGAGACCCATGGAGAATTGCCTCACAAACCAATCACACTGGGAAAGGTCAGTGGGCTGTAGAAAATCCAAACTTGCACATAATGCAAAGGTGAGCTACCTTTTCCTTTAAAAGGAATGATAATAATTATAACAATAATAACATCTAGTATTTATTGAGTGCTTTCCTTATACCAGGCACTGTGCTAATTGCTTTACAGATATGATCTCATTTAATCTTATGAGGTAGTGTAATTATTCCCATTTTACAACTGAAGAAACTGAGGCTCAGAAAGGTAAAATAACTTGCCCAGCAGAACAGAAACTGTACCTCCCAAGTAGACACCTTGCACTTGCATCCTTGTCCCAGAGTCTGTTTCTGGGGAAACTTAACTAAGACACTTAGGGTCCTGCAGCCAGCAGAGCAGAAATAAAAACGGTGATCCCACCCCAGAGTCTTCAATCCTGTACTACACTGTCTATCTTTCTTCTAAAACCCTTTCCCTGTAGCTTAGTGGGTAAGATGAAAGGCTCAGGAGTTAAACTCAGCATTGCCACTCACCAGCTCCATGAGTTTAGGCAATTCACTTTACCTCTCTGAAACTCAGATTCTTCTTTCCTTATTTATTGTGGTTATTGTTTTGCTGTTTTTCTTTGTTCACTGACACATCCATGCCTCTAGAACAATTCCTGGCACATAGTACCCCAAAGACCAAACCAAACCCATTGCCATCGAGTCAATTCCGACTCATAGTGACCCTATAGGACAGAGTAGAACTGCCCCATAGGGCTTCAAAGGAGCAGCTGGTGGATTTGAACTGCTGATCTTTTGATTAGCAGCTGAGCTCTTAACCGCTGTGCCCCACTACTATGCGCTCCGGCACACAGTAGGCACTTCATTCATTGATCGAATAAGTACAGGCAGTCCCTGGGTTACGAACGTCCGACTTACGTGCAACCTGTAGTTATGAAACAATCCCATAAAGCCTATTATATTAAAAATTCGACGTACATACAATGGTTTGTAATAACAAATGGGCACTACCTTGTGGCGTGCATCGAAACATTCTTATTATCATGACTGTACTATTATGTTAAAGATGTTTTAGTGTATCTGTGTTTCTTTAATGTTTTTATGCATAGAAAAATATACTATATACTAAGACAAACATTTGACTGACATTAGATACAAACTGTACCTAACTGTTCAACTTACATACAAATTTGACTTAAAGACAGATTTAAGAATGGAACTCATTCATAATCCAGGGACTGCCTGATTTAAAATGCAACTATTAATAGTGTTTAGCTTGGAGGGTAGTTCTGAAGATTACACAACGTAATAAATGTAAAAGTGCTTAGCCTAAATTTTCATTATGATTAATAATAAGCACTATGCTATCCTACCTCTACTGAGATAGTTATTTTTATTTATTCCCATTTTACATATTAAGAAACTGAGGCTCAGCAAAGGCAAGGAACTAGCCTAAGACCACACAGCAAGTTAGAGGCGAGACGAAACCTTAGAACCCAGTTGTTTCTGATTTCCAGCTCAGGCATCTCACCTGGATTCAGGGAATGCCATTATTCAGACTCCTTGGGTGCCTGTTAGGTTATCCATTGCTGCATAACAAATTAACCCAAAATTTAGTGGCTTAAAGCAATACACATCTGTTATCTCACAGTTTCTGTGGGTCAGAAATCTGGGGGTGGCTTACCTGGGTCCTTTGCTTCAGCATCTCTCACAAGGCTATGTTTGAGGTATTAGCCCAGGGTCCGCGGTCTCATGTGAAGGCTTGATGGGGTGAGATCCACTTCCACACTCACTTACATTCCTTGAGGGCTGTGAGACAGAGGACCGCAGTTCCTCACTGGCTGTTGGCCAGAGGCCGCCCTCAGTTTTTTGCCAAGTGGCCTCCTCCATCAGAGCAAGCACATGAGAAGAGCCAGAGAGACAGCCTACCAGCAAGATGAAGTCACATCTTTTATAACGTTATGTCAGAAGTAGCATTCCATCCGTTTGGCCATATTCTAACCATTAGAAGCGAGCCACTAGGTCCAGTCCTCACTCAAAGGGAGGCATGAAGACCGGGAGGCAGGGTCATCGGGGGCCATGCCAGAAGCTGCCTCCCACAGTGCCTCTGCTCCCCTTCCAGGTGTCCTTGTGACTCTGTGGATTATCGACCGCCTGGGCCGCAAGAAGACCATGGCCCTGTGCTTCGCCATCTTCTTCCTCTGCAGCCTCCTACTGTTTATCTGTGTTGGAAGGTGGGTGGTAAACCAGCTCTCTCTGGTCCCAGTGTTTGTTTCTCAGGCTGTAGTCAGTGGCTGTTTGGGCCTGCGGGCTGGAGATTATACCTCCATGGGGTTACCTGAGGGGTCTCCCCTCTTGCCTACTAGCTACTTGCTAGAACTGAGGCTCATAACTGCCTCACAACTGACCAAAAGATCAGGTTCAGGGTTGAGGGTTCTGATGGGGGTATGGGCGGGAGGGCAATTTGGCCCAGGTCTCACTCGGCCCACATCAAATTTAGACTTTTGACATCATCTCCTAACGAGACCAGGCATATAGCTGTTTAATTTATATGTGTGTGAAAGCATTAATTTGCCCAAAGGAAATATTTAAAATAGACCCTGTTTTGTAATCCTGTTTTGGGATTCTCCATTTTTCCATCCTCAAAATATGGAAGTGGCCCGTGCTTCTCTTGAACTCTGAGGGGCTCCAGACCAAACCTGATCAAGAAGCAGGGGCCCACCTCTTGGCCTGAGGAAGCCTGGGAGATATAGCCTAGATCCTGAAATGTTGGCGTTCTGGGACGCCTACAGGAATAATGGAATGGAGGTTCTGGGATGAGGATTATCCTAAAAGTACTGGACAGAAGTTTGGTTTCCTTAGCTCAGCTGGCATTTGGCTCAATTTCTGCCCGAGAAGTTCCTGTCTGGGTTTTCGATTGTTTCTATCACTTCTCTCCAACCTTACCTCCAATCTGGGTGCCTCAGATGTTTCCATCTCTTAGCCTGGTGCTTTGGAGAATGATTCTGTTATAAAAACAGGCCTTTGGAGATGGCACTGGAATGGATGTGTGCATGTGTGTGCACACACATGCGCTTGTGTGCCTGCACGAGTGTGTGTTGGGGGGTGACCTTTGTCAATTTCTAGGGTGCAAATTCTCTCTGGGCAGATACGTCTTTGCTGAAACAAGTTCACAGACATAATACCTGCTCATCTGCCCTTTTCCTTCTCCCTAGAAATGTGCTCACTATGTTACTCTTCTTCGCAAGAGCATTTATTTCTGGAGGCTTCCAAGCAGCCTATGTTTACACACCTGAGGTAGGAGGGGTGTCTGGGAGCAGGTGGGGCTGGGAGGGCGGGAACTCTCCAGAAACACTCCACCTGGGCTCCTTCGAAAGAAAATTTGTCCTTGGCTCTGAGTGGTGACTGTGAAGCCCTTCATTATTTTAACTTATTTTTTAATCTTTTGCTTCTGCTTATAAAAATGTATGCTCAGTGTAAAAATCCAAATGTTACACGACTGTCTAAAACCAAAAATGAAAGTTTCCCACAACCCCTCCATCCAAGAGACAACTTTCTTAAACAGTTCAGTGTATATTCTTCCAGATTTTTCTGTGCAAATACCAATATATGTCAGTGCATGTATCAGTCCAACTGGGTAACTGGGTAATTCAGAAGAGTTTAATAAAGGGACTAGTGCTGAGGGAAACCAACAAGTGATAGAGCAGTATCCCAGAGCTTGCAGTGGGGTGGGGGTGGCTGGAGTAGCTGTTAACCACCCTAGGCCTGATGGGGTGGGGGGAGGGAGCTGCTCCTGGGTCCCAGGAGAGAGTTGTGTGGAGAGAGTGGCTTCGAGAGAAGCTGACATTTAGTTGAGGGACACAGCAGGCCTGAGGCAACCTGGGAGGGAGGAAGCAGAGGAATAAATACTCCAGCCCCTCTCTCCTCCCGCCTCCCATCTTCCAATGGAGCTTCCCATTGGCTGAACCCAACCAGAACCCAGACAGCCAGAGCAGTTCTACTCTGACACACATGGGGTCGCCATGAGTCAAGTTGACTCAATGGCGACTGATTACGGTTGGAAAATACCCAGTCCCTTCTTACTTTGCATGGGGGAGACTAGTCAAGTGGCCATAACTGAGTGCAAATTTTTGGAGAAGCTGTGTGGACATTTACATCACTGTATCTATGAAAGTATTTGGAAGTCCGGACTGGTGCTTCAAGGCGATGCTACTAACGAAAAGCGGCAGGTGGAGCAGGGCCTGTGTCCTGATTGTGCAGCAGTTCCTGAGGGAGGGGGTCTTTGGGGACCACCCCCCACCCAGAGCAAGGAGGACCCCCATACTGGTTTCCCTCCCACAGCTCAGCCCCTTGCCCTCTTTCTCAGTTGAGTTCTTGTCTCCTTTCCAGTCTCCCATCCCTTAGTGGGGTCACCCTAACTTCAGGCCTGCCTCTGGGGGACTCTCCTGTCAGGCTGAGCTGGGGAGGAGGGAGGGACCTGCATTTTCAGAAGTCTCTTCCCGGCCGCTGTGTTTCAGGTCTACCCCACCGCGACACGGGCGCTGGGCCTGGGCTCCTGCAGTGGTATGGCAAGAGTGGGTGCTCTCATCACTCCGTTCATTGCTCAGGTAGGTGTCACCCCAAATACGGGGGGTGGGTCGCAAAGCCCATGCATTACCAGCAGCTACTACGTGCTGCGCCTTCTGCAGAGCTCCTCAGGTGCATCCCTATTGTATCCTAACAACCCACCCATAGAGAAGAAATATTGCTTGCAGATGAGAAAGTAGGCTCCGAAGAAGAAAGGCACTTGAACTCGCCCATGGCCACACCGATGGGAGGTAAGGAGGTAGCTGGGAATCAAAGCCAGGACTTTCCTATGCAGAACACCCTGGGGGCTCCAGATGATTTGGCCAAAAGCCAGTAGGCCAACATGACTTAGTGGAAAACAAATACCCCAGTCCCTGCTCCTGAGTGTTGGATAATTAGGCGTCATTGCAGATTTTGCAGCTGTTTGTGTGTGTGCCTGGAAGCATTTCTATCCGGTTTAAAAAAAAATTTTATTGTGGTAAAATATATATAATAAAAAGTTTGCCATTTAACCCGTTTTTTTCCTACTTCCTGTCCTCCAGAGACAACTATTTTTTTAAATTGTTGTGCTTTAAGTAAAAGTTTACGATTCAAGTTAGTCTCTCATACAAAAATTTATGCATACATTGTTACGTGACCCCAACTGCTCTCCCTATACTGTGACAGCACACTCCTCCTTTCCACCCCGGATTTCCTGTGTCCATTCAACCAGCTCCTGACCCTCTCCGCTTTCTCATCTCACCTCCGGACAGGAGCTGCCCATTGAGTCTCACGTATCTACTTGAGCTAAGAAACACACTCTTCACGAGTATCATTTTATGTTCCGTAGTCCAGTCTAATCTTTGTCTGAAGAGTTGGCCTCAGGAATGGTTTTAGTTTTGGGCTAACAGAGAGTCTAGGGGCCATGTCTTCTGGGGTCCCTCCAGTCTCAGTCAAACCATTAAGTCTGGTCTTTTTACTAGAACTTGAGTTCTGCACCCCACCTTTCTCCTGCTCCTTCCAGGACTCTCTGTTGTGTTCCCTGTCAGGGCGGTCCTTGGTGGTAGCCGGGTACCATCTATTTCTTCTGGTCTCAGGCTGATGGAGTCTCTGGTTTATGTGGCCCTTTCTGTTTCTTGGGCTAATACTTTCCTTGTGTCTTTGGTGTTCTTCATTCTCCTTTGCTCCAGGTGGGTTGGGATTAACCCATTTTTGAGTGTACAGTTCAGTGACGTTAATTACATTCACCAAATTGTACAACCGTCACCAATATCTGTTTCCAAAAGTTTTTCCTCACCCCAAACTGACACTCGGTACCTCTTCAGCAATAACGTCCCATTCCCCTCTCTTTCAGCCCCTGGTAATCATTAGTAACCTTTTGTCTCTATGCATTTCCCTATTCTGGATTACTTCATATAAGTGAGATTATGCAATATTTGTCCATTTGTATCTGATTTATTTCACTCGGGATAATATTTTCAAGGTTCAGCCATATCATAGCATGTACAGTGAAACCTGTGAGAGCCGGACTCAACGGGACTGCTCTGTTTTTCCAAGTCCCATAAGTTTTCCGCCTTTGACAGAGTGCAGTCTTACCACTTTTCTATCGCTTGCTTTAGTGGAAAATATTTAAGTTTTCCTTCTCTGACAGATTTTCACCTTACATAGGTTCTGGCTTTTGCGGGTTTTACTGTATCAGGGCTTAATTTCTCTTTAGGGTTAAATAATATTCCATTGTATGTATATACCACATTTTTTTAATCCATTCATCTGTTGATGGGCATCTCTCCATTTTTAGAGATGTTATTTTAAAATCATTTTGCTTTTTATATCCAATTCATTTTTAGCCAAGTATTTCTGTTCTGCCCTGTTGTTTTGGGCCATTGTATGTCACTGCTGACTAATAATAATAGCGACTCATAGCAACCCTATAGGACAGAGTGGAAGTGCCCCATAGGGTTTCCAAGGAGTGGCTGGTGGATTCAAACTGCCCACCTTTTGGTTAGCAGCCGTACCATGCTATAGCTCTTAACCACTGTGCCACCATGAGTTGGAATTGACTCCACGGCAACAGGTTTGTTTTTTTTTTTAACTGACTAATAATGATTGAGAGCTCCCCATGTGTTCATATTGTGTCAGGTGTTGCCCAGGTATCCTCTCATTAGAAAGTGGCTACTGCCCGCAAAGAGTCCCTGGGTGGAGCAAACGGTTAATGCACTCAGCTGCTAACGGAAAGGTTGATGATTCGAGTCCACTCAGAGATGCCTCAGCAGAAAGTCCTGGCAATCTACTTCTGAAAAAGCAGCCATTTAAAACCCTGTGGAACACAGTTCTACTCTGACACACGTGGCGTGATCATGAGTCAGAGTCCACTTGACGGCAATTAGGTACTGCCCTCATGCCCATTTGGCAGATGGGGAACTGAGACTCCGCTCTGCTGTGTGATTTTTGGAATTCAGCGGAGACACTGCCCTGGGAGAGAGTGTAGTTGCAAGGAGTACAGACTCTTAAATCTGACAGGCCTGGGTTCAAATCTCAGTCCCATCCTTATTATCTCTATGAACTTGGGGATTGTCTAAGTCAGGATTCTCTAGAGAAACAGAACTAGTGAGACGTATTTGTATGTATGTATATATATACATATAGTGCCACTATGCCAATTTTTTTTACATGTTGCTGTAAAAAAAATTAGCATAGCATGCTTACAAAAATACCTTGAGGGGGCGCAGTTGGCAAACGGACATAGAAGATGTGTGTTATTTGCGTAAAAATACGGTATGTTTTTACACAAATATATATATGGAGCCCTGGTGGTACAGTGGTTAAGCACTTGACTGCTAACTGAAAGGTTGATGGTTCGAACCCACCAGCTGCTGTGAGGGAGAAAGATGTGGCAGTCTGTTTTCGTAAAAATTACTGCCTTAGAAGCCCTATGGGGCAGTTCTCCTCTGTCCTATAGGGTCACTATGAGTTGGAATCAACTTGACAGCAACGAGTTTGGTTTATTTGGTTTTTTTTTTTTTTTTTTTTTTGTGTGTGTGTGTGTGTATGTGTGTGTGGTGAGAGAGAGAGAGATTGACTTCAAGGAAATGGCTTATGCAGTCGTGAGGGCTGGCAAGTCCCAAATCTGCTGGTCAGGTGGCAGTTTGGAGACTTCTGCAGGCTTATATCCTAAGACCCTAAAATGTGTTAGGTCAGGTGATAAGGAGAGTACCAATCAAGAGAGAAAGAGAGGGTGAGCTTGCAAGAGTGAGCTCTGCCAGAATACCCATTTATATTCTAGAGACAGACCACACCCCCAAGGCAACTCACCTTTCAACTGGTTGGTTGATCACAGCAGATCACATTATGGAAAGTCATTACATTACATTACATTGTGGAACAGCAATCAGTCCAGGGTTTGGCCACACCACTGAGAATCATAGCCTAGCCAAGTCGACACGTAAACTGAACTATCATAGGTATGCTACTTACCCTCATTGAGCCTCAGTGTCCCCCTCTGTAAAATGGGGATAAAGTACCTACCTCACCCAGCTATTGGAAGACTAAACAAGACAGTCTCACAGACTGCTCCGACAGGGCCTGGCCTTGCTAAGAGTATTGATGGTTGGCGGTGCCTCGGGTTCAGAAAGGATGCTCTCACCTGTGAACATCTCCTTCCCCAGGTGATGCTGGAATCCTCCGTGTACCTGACGCTGGCGGTTTATAGCGGCTGCTGCCTCCTGGCCGCCCTGGCCTCCTGCTTTCTGCCTATCGAGACCAAAGGCCGAGGACTGCAGGAATCCAGCCACCGGGAGTGGGGCCAGGAGATGGTCGGCCGAGGGATGCATGGCACGGGCGTCCCCAGGTCGAACTCTGGCTCGCAGGAGTAGTGACTGCTGGGGGGCTGAGCTGGTCTTTGAGGCTATAGCACGCAGAAAGCTGGTGGAGCCCAGCTGGGGCACTGACTGTCACTGCCACCACCAAGAACCCGAGAGTATGACCTGGACCAACAGGGCTTTGTGTCTTGACTCCATTTGCTCACATTCATCGAGATCCACCTGGGGATGGGAAGGCATTGGCTCTGGGGGGGGGGGGTTCTCTGTGTCAGGGGAGGTGCGTTACTAACCTGTGGCTCCTCATGGGGAAAGTGCCACTTTGGAAGTGTCCAGTGATACCATCCAGAATCAGCTGGTCACACCCTCAGTGAACAAAAACAAATGATCCCTGTAGATACAGAACAGGCCCAGACTCATGTGACACCCCCCACCCAGGTGAGTCGACACCTGCCACCTACCAATCCAACTTGTTCATTCAGTTCTCCTACATCCCTGGCCCCAAGGCTTTCTTCATTGAAATTGCAGGTGACTGAGTGTGGCCTCAGCAGCGTTTCCTTGGATCTGAGAAATGCCCCAAAGGGGCCCCTCTGTCTGCTTCCCCAGGGCCTGACTAGTGATGACTTTGGCAGATGGACATGCATTTGAACTTGAGCCATGTGCCCCCCACCCCTCTTCTGGAGTTGCTGTCTCTGGCTCCAGGGGAAACAGATGTGTCCATGGAGACAGCTGGGCTTACACTGGATGACAACCTCAGAAAGCTGTTACCCCAGGAGCTGGAGACTGAGACCGAGGAGAGGTGAGACTCAAGTCCAAAGGCAAAGCAGGGGGCCTCCCCGTTGGAAGCAGCGGAGGGGCCGTTTCAGGCTTCTTTTCTGGCTCCCTCCTTGGCCAGACCAGTGGCGACCCTTGGAGGAAGAAAACAGGTTTCCTCTTTCTTTCTGTGAAGCACCAATGCTTTGGATTTTGAGCATGGGTGGATGGCTGACAGGGTAGAGAGACAGCAAGGATGCTCCACCAGCCACACTCTCCCGTGGGGTCAGGGAACCCAGATCCCTGAAGCAGAGCTGTTCTTTCCTCCCTTGTTGCTAAGCTGCCCAAGGCTTGGTCTTCACATAGAGGCAGCTCTTGGGGTCCCAGCAATGGACCCCACAGCAGGGATGCTATGGGGTGGGGAGGGGAGGGAGTACCTAGATATGTGACATTTGTACATTTTCAAAGGAAGACAGGGAGGTCAATTGGGTGTTGGTTTGGAAGAAAGGACTGGAGCTCTGTCTCAGCGTCCACCTCCAGGGCTCGGTTTACATGAACCTTTCCCCCATCATGAAGGTGGGGGACCTAGAGAAGGAGGGAGGAGGCTGCCAGATCCCATCAAAATCCAGAGAAGACTGACCCTCTGCTTGGAGATACCTGCTTGAAGTAAACATTGCAAGGAAGCCAAATGTGTATGTTCATCTCTTATTAAAACATGTTGGTGATGGACATTGCAAGGGTCCAAGTTTGTTAGTGTGTCTTAATGTTCTAGTGACAGTTTGGCTTAATGGTCTTTGGAACTTTGTCCATCCAAGGTCATCTCATTCTTGGTCACCTGGCTTTAATATAATCATCTCTGTTCCATTAAGTGGGGAAAGTTACATGGTTGACTGCCAACATAATGACTTTGTGTCTGTTGGAGATGGCACTGTCTTCTAATGGGTCGACTTCTTCCGGCTCAAATCCTAGGTAGACTGCAAACAATCCAGTGTCCCTGAACTACAGGGTCACAGATGCAGCACCCTCAACCCATGCAGTCAGAAAGGACGTAGCTTAGCAGAATGCCTCTTTCTGATACATCTTTGTACCATGAGTGGCTGTGGCTCATTATTTCTGGGTTGCTGAGCTCTCCTGGGTAAGACAGAGCCTTTGCTTGTCTTTTTCGGCCTTCCAGCTGGCCAGACTTTGCCGGATGCTATGTCAGCTCCCTTTACCCTCAAATAACCCAGTGGAGCTAGAGGCGGGGGATGAGAGGGTTTGTTTGGGGGTAGGAATGTTTTCCAGGGGTTGAGGGCTGTGGCGCTCTTTTTTGTTGTTGTTGAGAACGTACACAGCAGAACATACACTAATTCAGCAATTTCTACATGTACAATTCAGTGACATTGATTACATTCTTCGAGTTGTGCAACCATTCTCATTCTTTTTCCAAATGTTTCTTCCCCTATTAACATAAGCTCACTCATCCCTAAATTTCCTATCTGATCTTTCAAGTTGCTGTTGTCAGTTTGATCCCATATGGATAGTTCTTTAAAAGAGCAAGATGCTCAATGCAGATATTCCTTGTTAATTAAGCTAACCTATTGTTTGGTTTGGAGCCCTGGTGGTGCAGTGGTTAAGAACTCGGCTGCTAACCATAAGGTCGGTAGTTCAAATCCACCAGCCGTTCCTTGGAAACTCTATGGGGCAGTTCTACTCTCTCCTACATGGTCGCTATGAGTCGGAATTCTCTCAACAGCAATGGGTATTGTTTAAAATGAAGACTTTAGGGGATATTTTTGCTTTAAGGTTTAAAGATTATCTCAGGGCAGTAGTTTCAGGGGTTCATCCAGCTCAATGGCTCCAGCAAGTTTGGCGTCCATAAGAATCTGAAATTCTCTTCCGCATCTTCCCGCTTTTGAGCAGGATTCTTCTACAGAATCTTTGATTAAAACGATCAGTAATGGTAGTGTGGCACTCTTCTTGAGAAAATGAAGGGTAAAACTCCTTGCCTTCTAAATAGCTTACCCTTCAAAAAAAAAAAACGTATTATTGAATGATACAAGAGCTGCTACAAAAGTTGCCTAAGCCTCTGAAATAGTGGGGGTTTCGCTGAAGAGGAAACCCTGGTGGTGTAGCAGTTAAGAGCTACAGCTGCTAACCAAAAGGTTGGCAGTTCAAATCCGCCAGGTACTCCTTGGAAACTCTATGGGACAGTTCTACTCTGTCCTATAGGGTTGCTATGGGTCGGAATTGACTCGACGGCAATGAGTTTTTTTTTTTTTAGCTGAAGATGCTTTCTATCTAATTTTGAACTATCCGAAACCTCCTATTTTCATTAAAGGAAATGTCATCTATTTCTCTCAGTGTTATGAAAGATTTTAGAAAATGGGAAAAGATGTTTCAATGTAACCAGGATTGTATGGTTTCTTTCTTTTCCTTACTTCAAGTATTCCCTCAGGAACACATACATGCCCCTGGTAGTGCTGGCAATGAGATGAAAGAGAATCTTAGGAATTGACTTTGAAATGAATGTGGATATTCACTGTGTTTTAATAATGTTAAGCAACAGAAAGCCTTGAATGATGAGAGCAAGAGTTCCCCTTGGTTATTATTAATAAAAGGACTTAGTCAAAGGACTAAGGTACTTTCAGCTGCAAATAGCAATAACCCCAATCAATAGTGGCTTAAACCATTAGAATAATTATAGTTAACAACAAGCCCAAAATCATGAAGTTCCAGGGAAGGTTTAGCAGCTCAGTGATGTAATCAAGGACCCAGCGTCTTTTCGTCTTTCTTTATCCTCTGCATGTTGGTCATTTGAACCTATGCTTGGAGCCTCATGGTCACAAGATGGCTGCTGAAGTGCCAGGCATCATATTTATTTACAAATGAGGTCAAATACAGAAGAAGCAGTCACAAAAGGTTTTCTGTCACAAGGTTCTGTTGTTTTTGATTGGAAAGGGAAGTCCTCCAGTAAATTCACCATTGCTTCTTAGTGGTCAGACTTGGGTCACATGCATACCTCTGGATCAATCACAGGCAGAAGGTAAGGTATTACCAATACTGGTTTAGATCAATCATGAGACATCTCCTAGGGCTGGGGAAGGGCCTACCTCCCATAGGACCAAGGGATTCCCACCAGCCTCTTGAACATAAATTGGGATCCTGTTGGCATGGAAAAAAGAAGGTGTTGGCTGTTGGATGGGCAGTGGTTGAGATGTATGATCTATGAAACATAGATCTATGGAATAGAATTGATTGTCCAGAAATAAAACTCTGGATTGCCATGGATGTGTAGGCCACAGAGTTCTAGTCAAAGCTATTTTAGTTGCAAGGAACAGAAATTTTACTCAGGCCAACTCAAATTAAGAAGGGGCTTATTACAAAATTGGGATCAGCAGTTAATATCCTACAGAGGACAGCCAGGAAGACATACATGAGAGAAGCAGAGAAGTAAGATGCAATAGGAAGAGATGAGGACTGTGGTGAAGAGGTGCACAGTCCCCATCCAAACGGGGTGGCCACTAGTCAGCTCTGACTGATTTCATTGCCCTGTGGGTCCAGCGTGGCCAGACCTTCCCATTTTCAAGGAAGAAATCTGGATTTGCGAGTGAAATCTCCAATTTTTAGTGTGTTGGATCAAACTGTTTAAGTGGGTGTGTAAGCCAAATAAAACACATCTGTAGGCTAGGTTTGGTCGGTGGACTACCAGCAGCATGCAGCCTCTGAAAGACTGGAGACCTCGAGGAAATGAAGTCCAGCCTGGCCTCTCACAGCGGAACAGGGAACTGGGAGCCAGCAGGGCCCGGGGCTGCTGCCTCTCTACTCTGTGAGCTTTATTCCTGCTCCTCTCTGCAGACTGGCTTTCATCTGCTGCATCAAGGCTGTTGCTCTCTCACAACCATGCAGATGGCTTTGGCTCCCCATGGCTCCATGGCCTTGTAACTTAGCTCTGCAAACAGACCTGACTCAGCTCTTCAGTGTCCCAGTTCCAGAGTCTCAGGAGAGGACTCTGATTGGCCTCTTTAGTGTTGGTTCCAGTCCTGGTCCAATTAAGTTGGGTCAGGGAGGGTTGAAGTCAAGAGGTACAAACATGGCAGCTTAAACCTACGCTTTTAGCAGGTGGCACAGACAATTACTGATATGTGGAGCGCACAGCAACATCCACGTAACCTCTCAAGTCTGTTCATCATAACTCTGTATTATGGACCATGTCATGGCATGTGGAACTTTGTTTGAAGTATCTACCATGTTCTGGGCATGATACTCCACACGGAGGATGCAAAAAATAATAGGGCATGGTCCTTACACTCATGTATGAACAGGACAGGGAGAGGCAGGCACAGACAGATTATTGCCATGCAATGTGACATGGTGCTAATGGAGAGATGCAGAGAGCACTGTGGAAATGCATAGGGTGGCAACCCTGACTCTCTGGGGCATCCTGCGGCACCTTCTGACTCCTCAAAGATTCGGTGGTTTCAGTCAGGCTTTGGTCATTGGTGGTACTTTACTATATTCTAATTCTAATTCTTTGACATTTGAACATTCATATATATCACATATGATCATTCTCAATTAGTCAAGACTCTTTGATAAACCATTTCAAATACCTCTCCCCCCACCATGCCAGAGAACAGAGCACTTTCTAAGTTCATCAGTCAGAAACCAATTCCATTCACAATAGCATCAAACAGAATAAAACACATAGGCAGGAACAAATTTAACAAAAGAAGTGTAAGACTTATGCACTGAAAACAACAAAACATTGCTGAGAGAAATTCTGAAAGATCTAAATAAATGGAGAGACACTCTGTGTTCACAGAAGACTTAAAATTAAGCTTTCAGCATTCCCCAAACTGCTCTATAGATTCAACACATTCCCTGTCAAAATCCAAGCTGGCTTTTTTTGCAGAAATTGGCAAGGTAGATCCTAAAATTCATACGGGATTTCTAAGAACCCAGAATAACCAAAACAACCTTGAAAAAGAAAGAACAAAGTTAGTAGACTTACACTTCCTGATTTTACAACTTAGTACGAAGGTATAGTAATCAAGACAGTGTAGTACTGGCATACGGATAAACATAGAGATTGATGGATTAGAATTGAGATTCTAGAGATAAACCCATACATTTATGGTCAATTGATTTTTTTTAATTTTATTTATTTTGTTGTTGTCAATATATACAGCAAAACATACACCAGTCCAACAGTTTCTACATGTATCATTTAGTGAGACCGACTACATTCTTCCAGTTGTGTAATCATTATCACCCTTTTACTGAGTTGTTCCTCCCCCATTAGCATAAATTCATTGCCCCCTAAGATTCCTGTCTAATCTTTTGAGTTGCTGTTGTCAATTTGATCCCATATATATTCTTAAAAGAGCATAACACTCAAGGCAGACATTATTTCCTGGTTAAGCTAAACTATTGTTTGGTTTTAAGAAGACTTCAGGGGATATTTTTGATTTAAGGTTTAAAGATTATATCAGGGTAATATTTTCAGGGTTCATCCAACCTTCATGGCCCCAGGAAGTCAGGAGTCTATTAGATTTTTGAAATTCTGTTCTGCATTTTCCCCCTTTTGATAAAAGATTCTTCTATAGAAGATCAAAATGTTCAGTAATGGTAGTTCTTCTGGTTTCATGGCAAAGGAGGCAGTTGTTCAGGGAGAATAAGCCACACATTCCATATCCTCTTTCCGTTCCTGACTCTCCTTCTTCCTCTATTGCTCCAGGCGTATAGAGACCAATTGTTGTGCCTTGGATGGATGCTTGTAAGCTTTTAAGACCACAGGCACAACGCAAGGAACTAGGAGGTAGAACAGAAGCATGGAACATGCTATTCAGCCAATTAACTGGGATGTCCCAGGAAATATGGTCAATTGATTTTTGACAAAGATGCCAAGACAATTCAATGGGGAAAAGAATAGTGGTTTTCTAAATTCATCAAGCTGCCAAGACTTCACTGAAACTATGATTGCAGACCACCTACAGGGAAAAAGCAGGAATGTTCGGCAAAGAGAAAATGAAGGGATCAACCATTGCAGTATCTTCTACAGAGCCATATGGGTTGCAGAATTTCCCCATGTCCCTTCAATTCTCAGTTTTAGGACAGAATCAAGAGGAAGCCACATTTCAAAGAGGTCCTTAGTATTTACAAAACGAACAGGAGGGTTACTTTGGGTTTGAATGTGTACTTCCTCAACCCCATACAATTTTGTGAGATCACTGTGTACTGAGTGGTAAAGGGTTCCTGTGGACAACTAGCCAGGACCAGTAGGGGTTTCTCCCCCTGGAGAATTTTAGGGTGAGTAAAGAAATATTTAGGTCAAAAACTAAATGCTATGCCTCACTCCAAACACCAGGAAGTGCCCCTCCTCCAAACCTTGTCAAAGTCTCCTTGTCTTGGCCCAACATGACTATGAGGAGGAAAGAACGAATTCCTTTCAGTGTGTTTGCAGAGAAGTTGAGAAAGAGGTCCAATAGATTCTTGTAATTGTATACTCCCCCCACCCTAATTTGGGACTCAGTGTTGTGCAGTGGTTGAAAGTGAGGCACTGAGATCACACACCTTCTGGCCCTGCATCTCCATTCTACCCCTTCCTAGCTGTTGACCTCGGGCTGTCTCTCCATGTCTCAGTCTCCTCATCTGTAAAATGGGGATACTAGCTACCACATAGGGCTTTTGTGAGGATGAAATGAGTAATGCCTCCAAGAGTTTAGTACAGAGCTTGGTACCCAGTAAGAATGCAATAAATGTTGATATTACACCTACTCACTTATCGACTATCTCGTTATCCGATATTTCGCATTTACGACAGTAGTAAAAAAATCTACTATTTTGCGCATTAAGATGTCTGTCTGGCAGTAATGAAGGCCAAGGTGTGAGGTGAGAGTAATGCTGGCTGTGATGGTTAAGGTTATGTGTCAGCCTGGCTGGGCCATTATTCTCAGTGGTTTGGCAGTTACATACTGATGTAATTTGGCAGTTATGTAATGACATAATTTGGAAGTTATGTAATGATGTAGTCATCCTCCATTTTGTGATCTGATGTGGTCATTCTCTGTTTTCACATAACGACCTGGTCTTTGGAACCTAACCATGTTGATAAGTGAGGAGTGGGTGTATTATTATTAGGACAGGAACTCTAACTAGATCTTAGCTCTCTCACCCTACTTAGCTTAGTGCTGGCCAGCATTAAGGCAGAACTCATCTTCATGATGAAATGCATGGGAAAGAACAGCCAGTAATGGCATGGCCTGGCATGGACATGGAGTGGACCAAACCAGTTGAGAATTCTTCACAGCTCATAGGATGCCACTGGCCCAAGATGCACAGAACCTTCTAGGCTGCCACCAAAAAAACCAAACCCATTGCCATTGAGTCGATTCTGACTCATAGAGACCCTATAGGATATTGTAGAACTGCCCCATGGGGTTTCCAAGGCTGTAATCTTTATGGAAGCAGACTGCCAAACATCTTTCTCCCTCAGAGCAGCTGGTGGGTTCAAACCATTGGCCTTTTGGTTAGTATTTGAGCACTTAACCACTGCACACCGGGGCTCCTTTCACAAAAACTCAGAAAGATGAAAATTTAACCTCAAAGGCTGAGGTAGGTGATTAGGGATGGAGATGGGAAGGTGTCCTCTAGGCTCATTTAAGAACTTCAGAACCACCTGGGAGTCTGTCCTTTCAGAGAGTGATAGCTGGAAGATAAGAGAGACATTAATCCTGCCCTCTAAAAAGGAATATGCTTGGTGAGATTTATTCTTTACGAAGGAGTTCCTTGTGGGATTATCCCTCCAGTAGCCCTTCTTCAGTGGTTATGTGTTGTCTATGGGGCCATTCAGTGAATAACTGGGGACAGTTGGAATCCTGGACGTGGAACAGGCAACATGTATTACAAGTTCAATGCCTCTTCTCCCTCCTCTACACTCCAGTCGTACATGTAGCTTCCTACAACATAATCTACTACAGCCTTTCCTAAAGTGTATTATGTGGCATTCATTAGGGTTCTTGGATAAAGGTCTTCGTGGCCAGATAGGTATAAGAAGCACTGGATTAAACAACATTGGATAGGTGTCTTTGCTGCGGGCCTTTCCAGAATCTTTAATGTGTTAGCATGACTTGGAATCAAGTGACTTAACTTCAACTATCCTCACTGTTCTGTGGCTCTGGGCAGCTTGCCTCTTTGATTTTCTGAGCTCTCCTTCCTTCTGAGGTCTCAAGGAATAACAGCCCAAGATGTTCTTCATCATGTCAGCCTGGGCTGGGATGTGGAACATTCTCGAGAGGGTGGAGAGACTGCAGGGACCAGAGGAGGCCCCAGGTTAGGCTGGACTCTCCTCTATGAATTGACCTTGTGGTTTCCTCTCATCTCATACTTCTTGTGGAAAGAAGTCAAGGGTGGGGTGGGGGTAACTGACTTTTTACAGAGGAACACTTGATTAGTTGCTTGAAGGGAGCCAGGAATCCTTGTGTGGAGGTGGTGGTCACTGGAGTCTTCAGAGGTGAGATGGTGGCCTCCTGGACAACTTTCTTTCTTCCAGGATTTTCCCAAAGAGCTTGGCTGCCTCCAGGGCACAGCCCCAGTGGATGGTGAGCCCATAGCCTCCATGGCCGTAGTTGTGAATGACCTAGAAGAGGCAAGAGAGAGGGTGGATGGGTCACCGAGGGATAGTGGAAAGAGGTAGAGGAAGCTTGTCTGCCCTGGGAGACTCAGGAGCTTCCTAAAGGGTTCTGGGAAAAGCCAGACACCACCCCGAGCTTTTCTCAGCAGCCAGGTGAGATAGTGGGAGCCCCTGAAACAGCAGGAAGGGGGACTGTTTGGGGAACTGGAGGATAACACCCTAGACTCTTCTCTTTTGCTTAGAAGAGAGACCTGTTTGAGTACATTCAGCCCAGGAAGAGTAGAATCACATCTAGAACTCGAGATCAGAGATTCCCCCTTTCACATTGTTGCAAGTTCCCTGAATCACTTTCCTTGTTCCCATCCTGTTCTAGACTGATGAATCTTCCGTGTTAACAGACAGACTCTTCTACCTACTTTGGGAGAGGCAGGGGGACCATACGCATGGACTCTGGTTAATGTACTCATTCTGGGGGCAGAAGCAAGACCTCTGGGGCCTTGTTCAAAGCTAAAACCACCTGCAGGGAGTTCAAGTCCATATGTGACTCCCCATTACTCAATCCTCTACACACACACACACAACTGCTTTATATTTATAGAGGAGACCCCTTTATACATACACTACACATACACAAAATCCTGCTATACACACATACACAATCCCTCTACACACACACAGAGACACACACACACACCATATGCCTGGGATCAGGCAGGGAGGAAGGGTGACTTAGGTAGGGAGGATTGCTTTCCTAGTAGAAACCCAGCCACCACCTACTTAGGTCAGTTCCTTCAGCCCAGTATAACTCCCTTGGTTTCAGTGAGCCCAGTTCCTACCCCATGAAGGGAACATGAGAGGGAACCCCAGGGAGATGATGGGGCAGACTCAATATGGACATCCAGGAAATGGCTCTGGAGTCAGCTATAGGAAGGTTCAAATCACATCCCAGCCCTGCCCCTCACCAGTGGTCCGACTTAGGCTAGTGATTCACCTCTTGGAGCCCCAGCTTCCTCATCTGAAGCATGGGGAGAATAGTCCCTATCCCAAAGAGATGTAGGGGAGATTCGATAAGGTCATTCATGTCATGGGCTTGCGAGAATGTCTGGCACAAAGTAAACACTCAGTAAGTACCCACTTTCCTTGTACTCAACCACAGACTTTATCAAACCAAAGCACTGCCCTCTGTGTTACCTCGAGCATGTCTTTCACCATCATTGAGCCTCGGTTTCCCCATTTATAGAGGAGGAGTTATTAGTCATCACTTCCCTGACTGCCCGGGAGGCTGTGAGAAGTCACTGGCGTGACTGTTCCCTGAAAATATCAGCGCTGTCTTATTAGGGCTGGGGGACATTGCTTTCCTTGCCAGTAGAACATACCTCTGTGACTGAAGGTCCAAAGTGAAGCTGTTCTCTTTCCAGCCGAATCTGGGGGCGTACTGGCCGAAAGCCAGTACATTCATCAACAATTTTTGCATTCTGGGGGAAAAAAGGTGTTAGCAACCCATCTCTGGACTTGTTTTTTTCCTTCTGCTGCCAATTGTAGGCAGTAGGGAATTAGTTTTTGGAACCCCATTACCATCATCATCAACACAAACACCATCACAGTCACCTTTATTGATTACCACAACCGTCATCACCACCTTTATCAATCCATTGGCATCATTACCATCATTACTACCACCTCCACCAATTCTATCAATTTCTCCATCTTCATCAGCCACCACCTATGGTATTGTCACTAGCCACCACCCCATCACCATCATCATATCCATCCTCAAACGTTTTCATCACCATCAATACCAATCACCACTTCCACCCTCATCCTCATCACCATAACTATTGTCATCACCACTAACAGGCAAATATAAAAAAAGGTTTCTGCAACAAATCCGTCTTCTTGTGAAGACAGACTAAGGTGCTTCTGGGATGTCACCTCTGGAGTGAACACTCTTAGCCATGGCCAGGTAGGTTTCATCAGTCCACAGCAGGGACTTCCCTGTACAATGTCAGATTGTGGTGTACTCCACAGTCCTTTGCTGGAATTGATTTACCCAATTATCTTAGGGGTGGAATATCCCCACTCTCAAGTGTCCCCATGACCAAGCTGCTGGGACCCTGGTCTAGGGCACTGATACCCCTCCCCATTGTACCTTCAGAGTGGGCTCCAGTCTGCAGCAGCCTTCCCAAATGGTTTTGTGGTCCTGGATATTGTTTATCTCACTCCAGTTCCCCAACTGGAAGATGCCTCCAAGAGTCACTGCCTGGGTCCTAGATAAAAGTGAGGAGGATGGATGATGAAGGAAAACAAAGCCTTTGAGATGAATAAGGGCCATCACCACATTCATCCTTACTACCATCTCTACCCAAATCACCACTACCATCAACATTGTCTTCTCTGCAACACCATCAGCACCACTATAATTGCCATTGTCATCACCATCAACAATAACCACTATCTCTGCCACCACTATTAACATCACTATCAATATTATCATCTCCGTTAACAATATCATCTTCACTACCATCATTAATGTCATCTTCATCAATCCCAATCACCATTTCCACCACCACCATTAACATTGCCATCAATAGTATTATCTCTGCCACACCCTTAACATCGCCTTCAAGACTGTCATATCTGCTACACTATTAACATCATCGATAGTGCCGTCTCCATCAACACCAACTACCATCCCCGCTCCCAATCATCACCATCATCAACATTGATCTCCTCATGAACAACTACACCAACTCACCATCACCCCTAACATTACCCCTCTACCCTTACCCCAGTCTTCATCCCTTCACCAACACTGTCTTCTCTATCAACAACAATCCTATCTCTACTACTACCATTCCACTATCAATAATATCATCATCCCATCAACACCACCAGCATTTAAGTAACATCACCACCTCCACTATTAATGTCATCACCACCGTCAACCCCAATCACCATTCCCACCGCCATTCCCATTGTTGATAGTCGCATCACTTCTAGCGTCACTGCCATCACATCCACTGCTGCTGTCTCCAACACTGCTACTACTGCTTCCAAAAGCATGTTCAAGGTCGAGCCTGATCAAGGCTCAGTTCTGCCTTCCATGGGATTTAATGGCTCAGATTCACTCAAAAAACACTGGAGAAAAAACACTGAAGGGACTGGGCAAGGGTTCTGGGGCGGGCAGCAGGATCATAAAGAGAGCATGAAGGTGCCCCCCTTCTGCCGGACGACAGTCAGCCTTTTACCCTGGGATGATGTACGGGGACTTGTAGATGCCATTGTCTGGGTCATGGGTGATAATGAAATGCTTCACCCAAGGGGCAGTGACCTGTTGATTCAGGGCAGAGAAGTCTTGTCAGAGGAGTTGGATCAGTGGGCTCCTCCAGCCCTTGCTCCCTTCAATGACCAGATGTTCTGAGAAGAGTGGCAAGGCCAGATTCCTTAGCCCTCCCATGGCCCCTCTGCCCCAAGTCTGCACCTGACTGCTTGCCTCTTGCAGAAAGGGCCACCCAGATTGAGAAACACCCGGGCTTCCTGCAGCAGCACACATTTTCACCCACATGTCCACAGAAAAGTCCCGGCACACATATGAACACACACATACACTTCTGTCCACATCAGGAACAAACATGCCCACCAACACACACATGTATACACATATATGCACACCTAGGATGCACATAGATACACTCATGCACACACATGCACACCTGTGAATGCACACATGCACATACAATATGCACACACACGCACAGTATTAATGTGCAATCACACATACAAGTGCACATACATGCACACCTATGAATGAACATATGACATGTACACATATGCACGCACACATGGACACCTATGAATGCACATACAGTCACACATGCACGTGCACACATGCACACCTATGAATGCACATATGCCGCTCCCATACATATATGTACACACATCTATGAATGCACATCTGTACCTGCACACCTATAAATGCATACATGTACACTCATACACATAGCCACATACATGCACACCTATCAAAGCACATACACACACTCCCATCTGCGCACACATACACACATGCTCACAAATAGGCACGCACTCACACACGTGCACACATGTGATGAGAGGCCACGTGGAATGATGGTTACACACAGGCTCTTAAACCAGATTGCGTGGGTTCTAATCCCAATTATACCACTTACTACTGTGTGAACTTGTGCAAGTTACTTAACTCTTCTGTGCTTCAGTTTCCTCATCTGTGAAATGGCAGTGGTAGTAATGATAGCACCCAACTCAAAGGGCTGGGGTAGGGATTATATTAATTAACACAATGAAGTGCATAAATGTTTGCTACTTTTATTATAATACAGCCATATGCAGGTCCCACATATGTACAGACATAGACACTCATGCTTTGCAATTAAGAAGAACCCTGAAAGAGGAAGTTTAGGGCTGTTGGGTTGCTACTTCCTGTTTCTTTAAAACGTCAACTCCCAGAAGGCTCAGGGGGTCCTCTAATGGATATTCCTAACTCAGCTGCTATCTTAGGAGATGACATAAACATGCAGCAATAACCTTTCTATCAACGAAGCCTAGTGGTTTCATCCCCCCCCCCAGACTCACCTTAATGATCTGCCCCCGGCCTGGCTGCAGGAGGGGGTCTGGCTGCAGTGCCCCAGCCCACACTCCAGTGCAGTTGATAATCACGTCCGCGCCTCCTCGTGCCACCTAGGAGCAATCAACACGGCAGGCAGGGGTGGAAGGGTGAAGACCCTTCTCCCACTCCACGGCTATCTGTTCCCTCAATGAGGAATCATTTGCGCCTGGCTCCAAATCTGCGCTTCACCATTTACCTGCTGTGAGACCTCAGAAAATCCCATCAATTCCCTGAGCCTCAGCTGCCTCAGCTATAAAATGGGCAGGTAATGCCTATTCATAAGGTTTTTGCTGGCTAATTTTCGGAAGCAGATCACCAGGCCTTTCTTCCTAGTCTGTCTTAGTCTGGAAGCTCTGTTGAAACCTGTCCACTATGGGTGCAGAAACTTCAACTTAGATGTCAGTAGGAAGCAAGCAAGTGTCTGGAACATGGGGGTAGGGGTTCAGCTGCTACTGGGAAAAGGCAGCCAGTTCTCTATTCCTGAAGCTCACTGTAGCTCATATATAAATTAACACCAAATGGCCACCATGATCCCACTGTCACTTCACTCCCACCACCAACACCAAGGCAGAAGCCTCCTGAGTCCTCCTGGGATTGAGAGAAGGCCAAGAGTTTGGGACAGGCCTAAAGGGAACCTTAAGGAAGTAGAGACCTCCCCTCTTCTCCCTCCAGCATCCATCCCCTTTCATCCCTGAAGCTCACCTCCTCAAAAGACTCCACCTTCCGCTGGAAAAATTTCACTCTCCTCTCAGTTAACCTGGGATGATCAGACATGTCAAAAAGCCTTGTATTCTGTTCCCCGCCCTGACCTTCTCCCTCCCAGAGGATGGCATGGGAAGCATTTCCTGAAGAACCTTCTGTGGATGTTAGTCCCACAGGACACTCCTTGAGAAAATGGCTGTGCAGTCAAATCAGTTCACCAGCATCTTGCTGAAAGAGTGGTCCATAAAATGTCCCTTGGGAAACCCAAGATGGTCCAAGACCCTCCTTGGGAAGATGGGAATGGGGGAGAGCCTCAAGGGAGAAGGGACTTGCTCAAGGTTATATAGTGAGTCAATGATGGAATTGGGACTGGAAGAGTGGTCCATAAAATGTCCCTTGGGAAATTCAAGATGGTCCAAGACCCTCCTTGGGAAGATGGGAATGGGGGAGAGCCTCAAGGGAGAACGGATTTGCTCAAGGTCATATAGTGAGTCAATGATGGGATTGGGACTTGACTGCAAGTCTCTTAGCTCCTAACACTTTCTACTGCCACCATATTGCCTTGTAACATCAAAGGGGATGAGATGTGGGATAGAGAAGGGGCAGAGTTGGGCTAATGCTGAATACCCTTCATCAGAAGTGGGGCATGAGGAGGGAGGTGGGCTATGGATATCCTCCCCTCCCTCTAAATACCCCAGAGGAAAAATACGTCACTATTTGAAATATAGTAGAAACATCAAAATAACAGTAAGTAAATCTTATAAATGCTGAAACATAATCTCAGGACTGTTTCTTCTACATAATTTCTTCTAGGAAAGAAACATTGAGAGAACTGAAGAGGCTGGATAGAAGTCATAAGTATCCCAAGGTTAGGAGAAATAACCATTCCTTAGTACAACAGTTTCCAAATCTAGTGATTAGTTAGAATCACCTATGGAGTTTGTTATAATACAAATTCCTGAGCCCCACCCCAGAGTTTCTGATTCGGTACACATAAAACAGGGTCTGAAATATGTATTTTGGATAAAAGCCACCATTCCAGATTTTTTAAAAGCTTAATAAGAAATATATGGAATCTTCCTTAATATGAATATACATGTAAATTTTTTTCTCAAGCTAGTGTTTGCTTAATGTGGAACACTACAAGATTCCTACTAAATTCAGAAACAAGACAAGGACCTTCGCTATCACCTGTATCGGTTAACATTGTTCTGGAGGTACTGGCCAAAGCAATTAGACAAGAAAAAAATAAAATGAGGTCTAAAAATAAAAGGCAACTTATATTTTGCAGATAATATAATTATACCTGAAAAACTTAAGAATCTGTTTAAAACTATTACGCAAACATTAAGGGATTTTTGTGAGTTTGTTAATCAATATCACATCTGAAAAGCTGCCCAGGTGATTCTGATGCCCAGCCAGGCATGCGAACCATCGTCTTTGTGCACAGGGTTGTTCAAGACCAAGGACAGCTCCAATGAGCCTAAGGTTTTTCATCAGGCTTTGGGGTTGGCTAATACTGAGAGGTATCCCATGAACTAATCTTCTGCTACAACCTTGGTCCCTGGGAGTGCCTTCCTTAAGCTGAAGCTCAAAAGCTCACCTTTCAGTCAGCCAGTGCAGATAGCTCTTCCCCTCCAAAATCAGGCTTGTGTTGAACCAGCCATAGCTAGAGTCACAGCAGGCAAAAGGTGAGAATAAAGTGTCAGAATCAGAACTATAAACGAAGGTCGGAGCAGTCCTGTTCTGTGGGCTCCAAAGGGTACAGCCAGAACCATTGGGTGAAATTCAAAGGGGTGGGGGGAAGGTTTTCAGCTCAATGCAAAGAAAAATTTATATCAGACAAAGCCATCCCTGACACTGTGATATGCAGTGGAGATTGGACATGCATTTGTAGAGGGGCTTCAGGTGCGGGGTGAAGTGAGGAGAGAACCAGAGAGGCATCGGGCTGTACGAGAAAAGTAGAGAGAGGTTTGAGGTCATACAGACTGGGTTGGAATCCCAGCTTGGCCACTTGAAAGTCACCTAATCTCTCTGAAGCTCAGTTTCCTCATTTACAAAATAGGATACTGGCATGGATCTTGCAGGACTTGGGAATCAGAAACAAAGTGGTTGCCAATAGAAGAGACTGAGTAAATGGCAGCTATTATTATAGTTATCTTTGGGTGAATTTTAAGCCCCTTCAGGAGCTGAGATTCTGCAATTTCGTATCTTCTCCCCATCCCCTCGGAGCCCTGGTGGCACAATGGTTAAGTGCTCAGCTGCTAAATGAAAGGTTGGCAGTTCAAACCCACTCAGTGGCTCCATACAGATCACAGCCTAGAAAACTCTCTGAGCAGTTCTATTTTGTTACATGAGGTTGCTATGTGTTGAAATAGATTTGATGGCACCTAACAACAACAACTCCACCCACTCCTCAGTTCAAGGCCCAGGCTGGGTGGGCATCTTCTCTGAAGGAATTGGACAGAGCACCGGGAGACCAGAGGTACCAGATGGCTTGAGATGGGACAGGAAAGTTTGTGTCTCCATCCCTTGCTACCATCTGGACAGGTCTGTCTGGATTGTGGGCTCTCAGCCCCTTTTGCCCATGACAATAACCTTACCTGTAATCTGGAAACATATCCAGCTCTCTGGGGGTCAGCTTTCGAAATCCAAGAACTGTATCCTTCCAAAAAGGTTCCTGCAGAGGAAGGGAGGGGTACAGGGATGGGTGGAGATCAATAACATCTCATATAGAGGTTATTATGTGTCAGGCACTATTCCAAGCATTTACTTATATCAATCCATTTAATCTTCACAACAACACATTCAGGTAAACACTATTCTTATTTCCATTTTACAGATGGACACATTGAGTCTGAGTGAGGTGAAGTAACTTGTTTAAGGTCACACAGCTAATAGGTGGCAGACCTGATATCTGAACCCACACACTTTGGCTCCAGAGTCCACGTCTTAACCACTACACTATAATAAGGGTAAGAGTAAGAGGGAGAGTGAAGGTTAGAAATGGGGGAGGAGAAAGAGACGACAGTGAGGGTCACCAAAGTGTGACAGTAGGAGGTGGCAGAGTGTAAGGTCACACAACCTGGATGGAGATACTAGCTTCACCACTTACCATCCTGAACAGATTCACTGAATTCTCTGAGACTCAGTTTTCTATCTGTGTCATGGAGTTGGTGCTGTGAAAGTAACTGAGATAATGAGGGCAAAGCCCTTATCTTTGTACCTAGCACCTTCTAAAACACTGAATAAACCTTGGACAGCTGGTGGAGGGGGTTCTGGGCACTGAGCCAGACCACCCTCTTCAAGCAGCCTGAGTACATCCTTCAAGCCTATGATGTTCTTCTTAACACATTGGGCACCATGTGGTCACCAACTGTGTATGTTCTCGCCTCAGCTCTGTCACTTTCTAGCTGTGTGACCTTGGACAAGTTGCTTAAATTCTCTAAGCTTCAGTTCTCTTATCTGTAAAATAAGGATAATGATAGCACTTAAACACACACACAAACAGTTGCCACCAAATTGATTCTGACTTATGGCAACACTGTGTGTCAAAGTAGAACTATGTTTCTTTTTTTTTTTCCTGAACATTTTACTGTGGTTTGGGTGAAAGTTTACAAAGCAAATTAGTTTCCCATTCAACAGTTTATACACATTTTGTTTCCTGCCATCAGTTGCAATCCCCTCAATGTGACAGCACTCTGCCTACTTCCTGTGTTCCCCGTTTCCATTTGCCCATCTTTCCTGTCCCTTCCTGCCTTCTGAACTTTGTTTTTTGGCAAATGCTGCCCTTTTGGTCTCGTATGGTTGATTGTTCTGAGGAGCACATTCCTCACGGGTGTTACTGTTCACTTTATAGGCCTGTCTATTATTTGGCTGAAAGGTGATCTCTGGGAGTGGGTTCAATTCCAGGTTAAAAGAGTGTCTAAGGGCCATAGTCTAGGGGGTTCCACAAGTCTCTACCAGACCAGTAAGTCTGGTCTTTTTAATGAATTTAAGTTTTGTTCTAATTTTTCTCCCATTCCGTCCAGGACCTTCTATCATGATCTCAATCACAGCAGTTGGTAGTGGTAGCCGGGCACCATCTAGTTCTTCTGGTCTCAGGCTAGTGGAGGCTGTCGTTAGTGTGGTCCATTAGTCTTTTGAACCAATTGTTTCCTTAAGTCTTTAACTTTCTTCGCTCTTCTTTGCTCCGGATGGGAAAAGACCAATAGTTGTATCTTAGGTGGCCGCTTGCAAGCTTTAAAGACCCCAATTACTGCTCATCAAAGTAGGACGTAGAATATGGTCTTCATGGACTATGTCAGGCCGGTTGACCTAGATGTCTCCCAAGACTATAGTCCTATGCCCTCAAGCCCAGTGACCCAGTCCCTCAGGGTGCTTGGTTATGGCTAAGAAGTTTTCATAACTTTGCCCCGTGTGTGCTCTACTACATACATGAATATCTTGCAGCACATACAAATACGTATGTAGAAGTATCCTCTGCCAAACCTATATATGCTCGTGGGTGTACTCCCATATGCCATTTCACACCTGTTCAGCTTATATATATAACTATGTATCCACCCATAAATTGTTTGTTATTACTGTTATCTCAGGATTGTGTATGTAATAGTACTTACCATTGTTGCCTTTTACTCTTGCATACCTCCTAGTGTCTTCTTTTGCCTTGGTCACATTGTGCTGACATCCTCCTTATTATGTATTGCCTTTTCCTTCATCCAAGTTAATACATGTCTACTATCTAGTTAGTGATTTTCCCTCCTTCCCCTTCTCATCCCTGGTAACCATCAAAAAAATGTTTCTTTCCATGTGTAAACCTTTTTTTAACTTTTTATAATAGTGGTCTCATGCAATATTTGTCCTGTGATTGACTTATTTCCCTCAGCATAATGTTCTCAAGGTTCATCCACATTGTAAGATGTTTCACAGATTCACTGTTATTCTTTAATGTTACACAGTATTCCACTGTGTGTATGTACCATAATTTGTTTATCCATTCATCCATTGATGGGCATTTAGATTGTTTCCATCTTTTTGATATTGTGAATAATGCTGCCATGAACATGGGTGTGCATATATCTACGTGTGTCACAGCTCTTAATTCTCTAGGATACATACCTAGTAGTGAGATTGCTGGATCATATCATATTTCTATTTCTAACTTTTTAAGGAAGTGCCACACTATTTTCCACAGTGGTTGCACCATTTTACAATCCCACCAGCAGTATATGAGTGTTACAGTCTCCCAGAACCCTTGTCGGTATTTGTTATTTTCTTTTTTTTTTTGATCATTGCTATTATTGCTGGGGTGAGATGATATCTCACTGTAGTTTTGATTTGTATCTTTCTAATGGTTAGTGATCACAAACATCTCTTCACATATTTGTTGGCTGCCTGAATATCTTCTTTGGTGAAGTGTCTATTCATGTCCTTTACCCATTTTTTAATTAGATTGTTTGCCTTTTTGTTGTTGAGCTATTAAAGTATTCTATAGATTTTAGAGACTAGACCCTTGTCAGATATGTCATAGCCAAAATTTTTTTCCTCAGTCTGTAGGTTCTTTTTTTTACTCTTTTGGAGAAGGTTTTTGATGCACTTAAGTGTTTAATTTCTAAGAGGTCCCAGTTGTCTAGTTTATATTCTGCTGTTAGTGCATTTTTCGTTATGTTTGATAGTCTATGCCATAAATTAGGGGCCCTAGGTTTGACCCTATTTTTTCTTCCATGATCTTTACAGTTCAAGGTTTTATATTTAGGTCTTTGATCCATCTTGAGTTAGTTTTTGTATATGGTATGAGGTAAGATCCTGTTTCATTTTTCTGCAAATGGATACCCAGTTTTGCCAGCACCATTTGTTAAAAAGACTCTCTCTTCCCTTGTTTAATGAACTTCAGCCCTTTGTCGAAGATCAGCTGTCCATAGGTGGATGGATTTACTTCTGTGTTCTCAATTCTGTTCCATTGGTCTATGTGTCTATTGTTGTACCAGTATCAGGCTGTTTTGACTACTGTGGCTATATAGTGGGTTCTGAGATCAGGAAGTGTGAGGCCTACTTTGTTTTTATTTTTCAGTAATGCTTTGCTTATCCGGAGTCTCTTTCCTTTCCGTATAAAGTTGGTAATTAATTTTTCCATCTCTTTAAAGAATGTTGATGGAATCTGAGTCAGGATTGCATTATATCTATAAAATACTTTGGGCAGTGTTGATATTTTCACAATGTTAATTCTTTCTATCCATGAGTATGGTGTGTTCTTCCATTTATCTAGGTCTAATTTGGTTTCTTGCAGTAGTGTTTTGTTGTTTTCTTTATGTAAGTCTTTTATATCTGTGTTAGGCTAGGTTCTCTAGAGAAGCAAAACTATTGAAGCATACATATATGTATATGTGCATACATATGTATAGAGAGAAAGAGAGAGAGAGATTTATATCAAGGAAATGGCTCACATGGTTGTAGAGGCTAGAAAGTCCCATGTCCATCAGGTGTCAGGCTGGAGGCTTCTCCTGACTCACAAAGCTGCAGGGGCTGATGAACTCAAGATCCAGAGATCAGATGGCAGGCTGCTGGCCCAAGTCCCAGGAACTGGAGGTCAGATGCTCATGAGCTGAATGCAGGATCCAGAGCAGAACAAAAGCCAGTGAGTTCTGCCTGAAAATCCACATACAGTGGATGCAGGCCACAACCTCAAAGAAAATCCCTTTCAACCAACTGGATATTCACAGCAGATCCCATCATGGAGGTGATCACATTATATAGTTCTCATCATGGACGTGATTACATCATTATATGACTGCCAAACTACAGCATAACTGCCAAACCACTGAGAATCAGGGCCCAGCCAAGTTGATCCAAAACCTTAATGATCACAATCCACCCCTTGTCAACTTGGCACCTGAACACATCTCCTTAAACCACACATAATCTCCGAATAAAGACAATTATTAAGTCATACTTGCGCCTAACATGATACAACGAACACACATACAACTGTGTATGCACTAGTCCTGTTTACATCTTATATTTTATAAGTGAAGAAAACAAAAATCTTTGATGCACACATATAAGGCAGAAATACTCCTAACAACTACAGCCTTTGTTTCTGCAACTGATCACGTGGTCATAACTGGTGTTTAGAACTACCATCTCCCACCACCCATTCTGTATTTCCTTTGCCCTCAGGAAGCACGTCAGCTGGTCATGGTTCTTTGCCTGGTGGGGTGACCCAAACCCTCATTTGCGAAGGGTCTGGGTCATTAGTAGTCATGTCAGAATTGGGTTACTGTAGTTTTCCATTGACTTCAATCACAGGACATTGTAGTACTAAGAGACACCCAAGGGATCTCCTGCATTCCAGACAAACTCGCCTTCACCTCCATTATGTAATATCACTCTGATTTCCTCTTAATAATCAGGCTCAATCACACCAGCCAATATGGTAACTCCTTTCTTTGCCTGTTGATCCAGAGGCATAAGGAGCCCAAAGTGGCCAGGGAGCATTCTTAACTTCCAGTTCAATGGAATCAGTGATGTGAGTCCAGGTGGGAGCATTCCTCCCTTTGGAACTGAGACCTCTAGACCCACAGAAAATAAGGTCACAGGAACAGGAAGCAAAGTTTTTATGAGTGAGTCACTAGGGGTAATAGTGAGTGGTACCACTTCCATTTCCACCCCTTGATTCCTGGACCCATGAATCCTGGCTATGGGAGAATTGGCACCATATATTGGACGTTGGTTTAGAGCATAGACAGCCTCCTGGAGAACACTGCTCCAGCCCTGCAAGGTATTGCCACCTAGCTGGTGCTGCAATTGTGTCTTTAGAAGGTCATTCCAACCTTCTATCAAGCCAGCTGCTTCAGGATGATGGGGAATATGTTAAGACCAGTGAATTCCATGATCACGGGCCCATTGCCACACTGTATTTGCTATGAAGTGAGTCCCTTGATCTGAGGCGATGCTGTGTAGGATACCATGACAGTGGATAAGGTGTTCTGGAAGTCCATGGATGGTATTTTTGGCAGAAGCATTGCATGCAGGGAAGGCAAATCCACAACCAGACTAAGTTTCTATTCCAGTAAGAACAAAATGCTGCCCTTTCCATGACGGAAGTGGTTCAACGTAATCAACCTGCCACCAGGTTGCTGAATGATCACCTAGAGAAATGGTGCCATATCGAGGACTCAGTGCTGGTCTCTGCTGCTGGCACACAGGGCACGCAGCAGTGGCTGTAGCTAAGTCAGCCTTGGTGAGTAGAACCCATGTTGCTAAGCCCATGCATAACCTCCATCCCTGCCACTGTGGCCACTTTGTTTGTGAGTCCATTGGGCAATGACAGGAGTGGCTGTGGAAAGAGGATGACTAGTTTCCACAGAATGTGTCATCCTAGCCACTTGATTGTTAAAATACTCCTCTGCTGAGGTCACTCTTTGGTGAGCATTCACATGAGACACAAATATCTTCACTTCTTTGGCCCATTCAGAAAGGTCTATCCACATAGCTCTTCCCCATATCTCTCTTTCAAATTTTCCAATCACGTTTCTTCTGAGTCCCTGACCATCCGGCCAAACCATTGGCCATAGCCCATGAATCGGTATACAATCACACATCTGGCCATTTCTCCTTCCAAGCAAAGTGAACACCCAGGTGCACTGCTCGAAGTTCTGCCCATTGGGAAGATTTCCCTTCACCACTATCCTTCAGAGAGGTCCCAGAAAGGGGCTGTAGTGCTGTCGCGGTCCACTTGCAAGTGGTGCCTGCATATCGCAGAGAACCATCTGTATACCAGGCATGAGTTTTCTCTTCCTCAGTCAACTGATAATAAGGAACTCCCCATAAGACCACAGGTGCAGATTGAGAGATGGAAGGTTATGTGACAGGAATGGAGACCATGGGCATTTGGGCCACTTCCTCATGCAGCTGACTTGTGCCTTCAGGTCCTGCTCGGGTCCAATCTCATGTATACCACTTCCATTTCATGATGAAGTGCTGCTGTGCATGTCCAACTTTATGGCCCTGTGCATCAGAGAACACCCAGTTCATGATGAGCAGCTCAGGCCACATGGTGACTTTGTGGCCCATGGTTACGCATTCAGTCTCTACTAAGGCCCAGTAACAAGCCAAAAGATGTTTCTCAGAAGGAGAGTAGTTATCTGTAGAGGATGGCAGGGCTTTGCTTCAAAATCCTCAGGTTCTGCACTGTGATTCACCAACAGGGGCCTGCCAAAGACTCTAAACAGCATGTCTATCTACCACTGACACTTCAAGCACAATTGGATCAGCTGGATCGTGTGGCCCAAGTGGCAGAGCCACTTGCATGGCAGCCTGAACTTATTGTAGAGCTTTCTCTTGTTCTGGGCCCCACTGAAAACTAGCAGCTTTTTAAGTCACTTGATAAATAGGCCAGAGCAGCACACCCAAATGAGGAATATGTTGCCTCCAAAATCCAAAGAGGCCCACTAGGCATTGTGCCTCCTTTTTAGTAGTGGGAAGCGGCAGATGCAATAACTTATTCTTCACTTTAGAAGTAATATCTCAACATGCCCCACACCACTGGACCCCTAGAAATTTCACTGAGGTGGAAGGCATCTGAATATTCTAGCACACAAACGTTTTACCAGTAAGTGCAGAGTCATTGACACTTCTTCTTTACTAGGTCCAATAAGCATAATGTCATCCATGTAACGGACCAGTGTGATGTCTTGTGGAAGGGAAAGGCAATCAGTTCCCTGCAAACTAAATTATAGCGTAGAGCTGGAGAGTTGATATACCCTTGAGGTAGGACACTGAAGGTGTATTGCTGGCCTTGCCAGCTGAAGGCAAACTGCTTCTGGTGGGTCTTTGAAACAAGTATAGAGAAAAAGACATTAGCCAGATCGATCGATGCATACCAGGTACCAGGAGGTGTATTAATTTGCTCAAGCAATGAAACTACATCTGGAACAGCCACTGGTATTGGAGTCACCACCTGGCTGTTTTCAATAATCCACTGTTGTTCTCCAAGATCCATCTGTTTTTTGCACAGGCCAAATAGGTGAGTTGAATGGAGATGTGGTGGGAATCAACACCCCTGCATCCTTGAAGTCCTTAATGGTAGTAGTAATCTCTGCAATCCCTCCAGGACTGCAGTATTGTTTTTGGTTTACTATTTTCCTAGGTAGGGGCAGTCCTAATGACTTCCACTTGGCTTTTGCTACCATAATAGCCCTTACTCCATTTGTCAGGGATTTAATGTGGGGGTTCTGCCAGTTTCTGAGTATATCTATTCCAATTATGCATTCTGGAACTGTACTACAGGATGGGTTTGGGGACCCACTGGACCTACTGTGAGACGGACATGAGCCAAGACTCCATTAATAACCTGAACTCCATATGCCCCCACTCTGACTGGTTGGCCACAGTGACATTTTGGATCTCCTGAAATTAGTGTCAATTCAGAGCCACTATCCTGTAATCCCTGAAAAGTCTGATTATTTCCTTTTCCCTAATGAATCATCACTCTCATAAAAGGCTGTAGATCCCTTTGGGGAAGGCTGGGAGAAAGATTAACAGTATAAATTTTTGGCAATGTAGTGGGATCCTTCCTCAAGGGGTCCTGGCCTCCCCTTCATTCACAAGGTTGTGGGTCTGTAAACTCACTCAAGCCTGGGAATTGACTGAGGGACCATGATGCTCTATTCTGGTGATTCGAGTTAGACTGCTGTTCACTGGACCTAGAATTCTTCCACTTGTACAGATCAAGTAAATATTTAGTAGATTTCCTATCTATTTCACTCCTAGGGACACCATGACTAAGTAGCCAATGCCATAAGTCCATATGCATCAGACTATTCTGATTACTGCTTTGACTCCGCTCTCCATTATGATAACCATGCCCACCTTGTCTTTATCGATTGAGTGCCATCACTTGGCCCCTACTACCATGAGGTCCAGTCAGCCCCATTGTTGTCAGGTGTCTCAATTCAGTTAGGACAGCTCCCACTGTCAAATCTGACTTACATAAACTAGCAATCACAGCAGTCTTCAAGGATGCTAGGGCTCCCTTCACAAATTTGTTCCTCACTGTTGTGGTAAAAGGTGTATCCTCTGGGCACTCCATGTGTGGGTCTGTAGGTCTAACCTGGTAAATTCTTTCTAACATGCCAACTTCCCTAAGCCTTTTGATACCTTCTTCTACAGCATACCAAGGCAGGTCTGGTACTTCAACTTGATTTAGTGTAGGCCATCATGTAATCTGTTTAAAACAGTCTGTTTTATCTTGATATTACGTTGACTTTCTCTCTATATGGAAGTTCTGTAACTACACCATTTATTCCCTCTTTTTGTTTTGAAGTTGTCATCGTTTACAGATTGACATCTCTGGTTCCCTATTTTCAGTCTTGTCTTTCAATCAGTGTTCGAGCTAGTTCTTTATCCTTTCATTTGATGCTCAGGGTTCCAGGATTGTCCTCTGTATCTGTTTCATCTGGTTTCTTGGGTCTTTGCTGTAGAGGGACAGCACGGTATATCTGACTAAGCCGCCATTTTGGCAAGAAGTCCTTCACAGGGTTTTCAACGGCTATAATCTTAGGGATGTAGTTCACCAGGCCTTTCTTCTAAAGCACCTGAGTGGACTTGGACCTCCAACCTTTTGGTTAGCAGCTAAGTGCGTTAACCATTTGTACCACCCAGGCACTCTTAAAACCGAAAACCAAACCTGCTGTCATCAAATCAATTCCAACTCATGGCGACTCCATGTGTTGCAGAGCAGAACTGTACTCCATAGGGTTTTCAAGGCTGTGATCTTTCAGAGGTAGATTAGCAGGGCTTTCTTCTAAGGCACCTCTAGGTGGACTCAAGCCTCCATCCTTTTGGTTAATAGTTGAGTGCTTTACTGTTTTCACCACCCAGGGACTCCTCAGGGACTCTTAACTCTTGCCTATTGTGAAACTTAAATGAGTCACTAGCCGTAAAGTAGTTAGGACAGGGCCTGGCACATAATAAGTGCTTTAGAAGTTTCTCTATTGATATTTTATTCCATCTTTATGAAATCCCTATGACCTCCAGCAGCACAGGAAACCTTGTGGCTTAAGCACTAAATGCCCACCGCTGCAGAACATGTTTTACATCTGTGCAAAGGGCTAGTTCCTCCTGTTCATCAGAAGATTTTTTGATCTCTGCCAATATAATAACAAAGCTTGAAACAAAAGTATTTTTTTAAAGCAAAAATAGAATTTAAAGTTAACCTATTTTGAACTCAAGAATCTGTCACCTACAAGGCTCAAAGATCCCCCCAGACTCAGGGCCTTGCACCCTCATCTTTGGACAAGGCTCTGCCTTTTGGCTGAGGCTCACCCCCACCGTCAAGGACTTCTCACTCACCGGGAAAGCTTCATGGAAGAGGTTGTAGCCTGAGATTAGGGCCAGGCCCATTTTCTCAGCGTTTGGAGAATGGACATGGCTCAGGAGATAGTTAAAGGTCTGCTGGTTCCAATCCCTGGAAGAGACACCCAGAATCTCGGTCACCTAATACCCCCAGCTGGACAAGGAAGCTCAGAGGGTCAGCTTGCATGAAGCTGTGGCCAAGCTGATGAGGACATGCCCAAAGCCCAGAAATCGCCATGTTCACTCTTGCAAAGGCCCAAATGCCTACAAGACTTCCACCTCTCCCAACTTTCATATACGTATATATATATGCATGTGTGTATACGCATATACAAATACACATATACATGTATATACATATATGAATACACATATACACGTATACACATATATGAATATACATATACATGTATATACATATACACATACACACCCACATATATAAACACAGTAAAACCTGCGAAAGCCACAACTTGTTTAAGGCGGAAACCTGTCAGAGAAGGAAAACTCAAATATTTTCCACTAAAACGAGTGATAGAAAAGTAGTAAGACTGCACCCTGTCAAAGGTGGAGAACTTGCAAGACCTGGAAAAACAAGACAGTCCCATCAAGTTCCGGTTCTCACAGGTTTCACTGTATTTTTGTTTTGTCACGCCAGGTCAGATCGTCTGCAAGGGGCTTGTTCTTGGTGATGGAACTCTGAGGGGGCACTCCCTCTGCAGACTCAGCCTCTCAGGCCCCCGGCTACCCTCTGGGACCCCCACTCACGCCTCCTGTGGGTTGCCGTGGTCAGAGAGGTAGGGCTGCCAGAGGCCGGCAGCCACGTCGGTGGTGGTGAGTGGGGTGAAGCGGTCTGCATAGATCTTCATGTCCAGCGGCTGATGGACGGAGTGGTAGTGCTCGTGGATGCAGAGGGCAGTGGACAGCCCCATGACCCCTGCTCCGATCACCACCACGCGCATCGTGCCAGCCTGCAGGGAGGATGGATAAAGGCGACATCATCACTATCACCTCACCACCATCGCCACACTCTGTAGAGCACTTAGAATGTGCCGGACACCTCTAAACCCGCCACCATCAAGTCAATTCCGACTCATAGTGACCCTAGAGTAGAACTGCCCCAGAGGTTTTCCAAGGTTGTAATCTTTACGGAAGCAGACTGCCACATCTTTCTCCCATGGGCCTGTTGGTGGGTTTGAACAGCCGAACTTTTGGTTAGCAGATGAGTGCTTAACCACTGTGCCACCAGGGCCCCTGTACACCACTAAGCCTTTTTATATTTGACCCTCACAACGACCCCAGGAGGTAAAAATTATCATGTTCTCATCTCACAAATGGAAAAGCGGAGGCACAGAGAGGCAAAGTCACTTACCCAATGTCACACAGTTGGTAAGTGATGCAGCTTTCTCTGGGGAGCATCTCCCGACACCCCCTCCCCAGGCTGGGAATAAAGGCCTAGCAGAGCTCCTGGCCAGCTATAGGCTGGGTTGTCTAGTGGTTAGGACAACAGGATCTGGCTTTGAATCTCAGCTCTGCCACCCACTATTGATCTTGTGCAGGATGCTTCATCAGCCTTTTTATGGATTGAATTGTGTCCTCCTGAAATACGTTTTGTAAATCCTAACCCCCATACATGTAGATATAATCCCATCTGGGAATAGGGTTTTCTTTGTTAATGATATCATATCAGCGTAGGGTGTGTCTTAAGCCAATCATCTTTGAGATATAAAAAGAGCAGATTAGGTACAGAGAAGGAAGCACAAATGGAAGAGAAGATACACGCCACATGAAGATCACCAAGGAACTGAGGAACGAAGTTGAAAAGAGACAAGGACCTTCCCCCAGAGCCAACAGAGAGAAAAAGCCTTCCCCTAGAGCTGGTGCCCTGAGTTTGGACTTCTAGATTCCTAAACTGTGAGAACAAAACCCTGGTGGCGTAGTGGTTAAGAGCTACAGTTGCTAACCAAAAGGTCAGCAGTTCAAATCCGCCAGGCGCTCCTTGGAAACTATAGAGCAGTTCTACTCTGTCCTATAGGATTGCTATGAGTTGGAATCGACTCAAAAGCAATGGCTTTTTTTTCTTTTAAGTGTGAGAAAATAAATTTGTTTGTTAAAACCATCTATTTGTGGTATTTCTGTTATAGCAGCACTAGATAACTAAGATAAGTCTCAAATTCTTTTATAACATGAGAAAAATAGTTCATATTTTGGAGGGTTGATGGAAGATTTAGCAAGACGACAAATGTCAAAAGCTTAACCAGTGCCTGGTGCCACATAAGTGATCAGCTGGCATTTGTGAGGCACCTACTGTGTGCCGTCCCAGTGCTTCACATGCCTCCTTTCATCCAAGCCTCCCAACATTCCTATGAGGTGGGGCTATTGTTCTTGGCCCCATTTTACAGATGAGGAAACTGAGGCCCAGAGGCAAAGTGACTTGCCTGAGATCATACAGTCAGGAAGTGGTGATGCTGGAATCGAATTCCCATTCAAATAAACTCAACAGCCATTTATTGCACACCTACTATGTCCCAGGTGGGCAGCCAGTGGAGGCACCACATCAAGACACATTGTCTGGCCTCAGACCTCAGCTCTTCCCGCATACCCCCTTACGGCCTGCCTTGGGGTGCTGGGCTGGCTGGCCCTCAGAAGTTTAGACAGCCGAGCAGCTTTCGCCCTTGAAGCCACTTGGGTTGGCCCAGCAGGGAAATGTTTTGCCAGCTCCTGCTGAGGGGGAACAAGAGGACTTTTTGTGCCCCAAATGACCAAATTCAGCTTCCCCTCCTCGTGTCTCAAACTCCCCTCCCACAGACCTCAGCTCCTGGCAACTCAGGCCTGTGGCCCTGCATGGCAGGACATTCTCAATATGGCCTAGTTTGGGAAAGGGGGAAGAAACGGCTCCAGTCCATGAGAACTGGACACCAATGGGGTTTCTCCAGCCAAGTCGGGGACAGAATCAACAAACGGGAAGGCATCAGTCTTCTGCAATTCGCCTTCCAGCTGCGGGCCTGGACTTGGTTGGGGTACAGATCCCTTGGGTACCCTTGCACCCTCTCCTCCCTCCTCCTCCATGTTTGCCTTGGAAGCTTCAGTCTCCTTGTCTGTAAAATAGTGGCACCCTGATCGCATGGAGTTGTCGTTAAGGATTAAATGGCAGTCTTGGTGAAATTTCCTGGTAAGGTGCCTGGCGCAGAAAAAGCCCTCAGTAAATAGTCAGTATCCCCCGTTACAACAATAAAAAATAAGAAAAAACACTTGTTTTAAGTCTTCAAAAGAAATAGCAAGTAGCCTCCGTTTGACCCCCAGCACCTTCAAAATAACAGTGGAAAAGGCATTGGACGTAGCAAGGAAGAGCGAGGAGGTGACACAGGCACGCTTGGCTTTATTTCTGCCTTGCTGCGTGACCTTGGCCCAGTCACCTCCCTATCTGGGCCTTCTGATCCTGTCACCACATTGGACTGTCTCAGCGGCGATCAGGGTATCATCTCTGGAGAGCCAACCACTCTTGTACATTAATGATAAGAAGGTAGAGGAGTAGATGGATTTTTCTGGATTTTCCAAATTCCCTGTAATGAATCCAGGGTGACACGGCATGGGGAGGGGCACTATCGGCCCAGGCTGAGAGTTTGACTCTGGACACACCCGCTGTGCAACCTTGTAAAGTTGCTTAACTTGACTGAGGGTGACCAGCCACCCTAGTTTGCCTGGGGCTGAGGGGTTCCCAGGATGAAAAGGCATTCAGTGGTAAATCCAGGAAAGTCCCAGGCAAACCGAGACGAGTTGGTCATCCTAATTGAACCTCGACTTCCTCTTCTGTAAACTTTTAGGGGCTAACGAAGCTTCTTGCCTCATTGTCTCGCCACCTGAATATCAGCTCCAGGAGTGCAAGGACGCTTGTCTTTTTCACTCCTCTATCCCCAGGGCTTAGAATAGTGCATGGTCCGTGGTGGGGGCTCAATGAATGAATGAATGGCGGTCTTGTGAGGATCTAAAGAGAAAATACTTGTGAAGTGCTTGGAGCTCATGAATGACAGTGGTGATTATTATTGTCCCCAGCTTACAAATGAGGGGGTTGAGACACTAAGAGAGCAAGCTAAATCGTTTGAAGTCATAACAACAGTTGGAGGAAGGTGTGGGATGTGAACCCACCTTTGGCTTTTCCAGGGCTCACCACTTTCTACAGTCTCACACCTCCTAGAAAACCAGCAGAGGACTGAGGAAAAAGGTAGCACCTTATATAACAGAAACAGGAGCCCAGTGGCACAGTGGTTAAAGGCTTGGCTGCTAACGGAAAGGTCGAGGGTTCAAACACACCAGCCGCTCCATGGGAGAAAGATGTGGCAGTTTGCTTCCATGAAGATTACAGCCTTGGAAATTCTCTATGGGGCAGTTCTACTCTGTCTTATAGAATTGCTATGAGTCGGAATCAACTTGATGGCAACAGGTTTTATATAACAGAGATGTGTAAGGGGGAAGGAGAGTAATTGAAAGACGCTTAAGAAGCTTTGGGATGGAAAGAAACAGGCTTCCGACCAGCACAGAGTTATCATGTGGAACATCCCCGAGAACAAGGCTGGTTTAGGCTAATGTCAAAGCCACTGGTTAGGACAGGTGGCACAGGCCCAAAAGGAGGGCCAAGGGAGGATCTACAGCAATGCTGAGGCCATGCCTGGCAGAAACTTCCAGCACAAGCTGTCTAGGATAAGCAGGGACAAGTAGAGTGCAGTGCTCAATTTCTTCAGTGTATAAAACTAAAGATGAGCAAGACATTGTTATACAGATGGGGAAACTGAGGCCCAGAGAAGGGGAGTGAGTTAGCCAGAGTCACACGGCTATGGTAAATGGGTTTGTGGACTCTTAGGGGTAAAAAACAGGCATGTGGAACCCCTGAAACTATTGAGGTAATCTTTAAACCTTAAACCAAAAATGCCCCCTGAAGTCTTCTTAAAGCCAAACAATAGTTTAGCTTAACTACTAAAAAAAAAGTCTGCCTTGAGCATTATGCTCTTTTAAGAACTCTCTCTGTGGGATCAAAGTGACAACAGCAACATGAAAGATTAGATAGGAACCTTAAGGGGCAGTGAGTTTATGTTAATGAGGGAGGAACAACTCAGAAAAGGACGGTGAGAATGGTTGCACAACTCAAAGAATGTAATCAATGTTACTAAACTGTACATGTAGAAACTGTTAAAATAAAAAGAGAGAGAGAGAGAATGTTGACAGATTGCAATAAACATAACTAATGTCACTGAAAAATTTGTGTGGAAATTGTCAAATGGGAACCTAACTTGCTGTGTAAACTTTCACTAAAAACTCAATAAAATATTATTTAAAAAAATTTTAAGTTAAAAAAAAAGCAGACGTGGAGGTTGATGGATAGACTGGGTCAAGAAAATAACTGGCAACATAGAGATAACAAAAATAGCAATAAAAACGAGCAGCTCCAACTTTTTTAACTCCTAGTTTGTGTCAGTCATTGTGCTAAGAACTTTATCTAATTTAATCTTCATAACAACCTTGGATGTTACTACTATGCCCATTTTACAGATGAGGCAACCAAGGCTCAGACAAATGAAGACTATGGCCCACGGCACCGACCTGGAAAGCAGCAGAGCTGGAAGTCAAGCCCAGGCCAGCCGGACTCAAAAGTCCATGTGTTTACTGAGTTTCTGTTAATGGTTGTGGAATAATTTGGAAATGGATAGTGGGGATGGTTGTACAACATGATGAGCGTAATCACCGTCACTGAATTGGACACGTAAAAAATGCTGAATTGGCCAATGTTTTGTTTTATATATATATTTACTTACCATAATCAAACAACTAAAAAAAAAAGTCTATGTGCTTAAACCATGCTATGCTGCCCACCACCCCACCCCACGCCCCCGCCAAGGGCAAAACACACGATTTGAAAAATTTGAGGGTCCACCAGGTGAAGAGAAACAGCCCACGGTTCAACATTCTGCATTTGAGA